GATACGCGGACCCCCAGGGACTCAGGAAAGGTGAAGGAATCCCGGGTGCGGTCTGTACAGTAAGACTTGTACCACCACTGTACCACTGCGGTTTGAGTGGAGTGAGTGGTGTAATGACACGGAAGAACAATGGAGGAGAACAGCATGGCAAACTTCTTCTCATCTTTCACAATCACCTGTACACCATTACAGCTTTGCACTGTGCCAAAAAGAGAGACAGAGAGAGAGAGAGATTTAAAGTGAGAAACAAAACATCATTACTGAATGACAGCAATAAAACGACACTAAAAGTAATACACTACACACCTTTTGCTTAAATGTTTGTCCTGTTTTGCAGTATGGACACTGGTAGTCAAAGCTATAGCAAACGCAAATCAAAACCAGTCTCCAGATTTCACAGCATGACCGAGCATGATGGGCACAACTTCAATTTTTGAATCTTCAGAGGATATAAATTTTAAATGTATGACATTTTGATCTAGCTTTAGAACACTTTTTTTCTCAATTTGACTTGCATCTCATGCTAACATGTGGGTTTGCTGTGTTCAGAATGACTCAAAAAAGATTCCTCAGTGCATGATGGTAGGTTTATCTCTGTAACCACTTATAATGACAGCATATTTGTTTTGTATATAGAAGTGGTGTAACAGTTAGAAGAAAAACAGTTAGAATTATTATATAATTTAAAAAATATATATTTTACAAACACAACATTTTTGGGACATCTAAATGCAGTGCAGAACCCTGTTTTGTGTGATTTTTAATAAAGACAAAAACTATGCCAGAACTACGCAAATGTTTGTTTGTAATTACTGATAAATATTATGTTTGTTTTGTAATAACTTGGGAAACGGGGTAACACTTTAGAATACAATTCCTTCGTTAATGAATAACTACACAAGAACAACACAATATTACCAATTTTGTATTAACTATCAAGAAACTCTGATTAACGAACTAGTAAGTAATAGCGCACAGATGAAAGAGGTAGTTTACTATTAAGTAATCAATAACTACTATTTTTTTAATACTTCCCAGAGAACTACTGAAAAAGTTTATTAACAATCTAGTAAGTACTAACTAAAAGAAACTCTTATTAACGAATTAGTAAGAAATAACTCACAGATGAAAGTGTTACTAGATACTTCTGTGGGAATTACTAATTATTTGGATTCGTATTATAAAGTGAAGATCATTGGAACTAACTAGTAATTACTCAAGTGTTACTACATGATCTAGTCATGATTTGTGCAAACGTTTGAGATTTTTGGTGAACTTTAGTATACTTTTAGAAAATGTCTTTAGTAACACGAGTCATTAGTTAGTTCCAATGATCTTCACTTCATAATACGGATCAAAATAATTAGTAATTCCCACAGAAGTATCTAGTAACACTTTCATCTGTGAGCTATTACTTACTAATTCGTTAATAAGAGTTTCTTTTAGTTAATAGTAGTTACTAGATTGTAAATAAACTTTTTCAGTAGTTCTCTGGGAAGTATTAAAAAAATAGTAGTTATTGTTTACTTAATAGTGGACAACCACTTTTGTCTGTGCGCTATTACTTACTAGTTCGTTAATCAGAGTTTCTTGTTAGTTAATAACAGTTACTAGATTGTTAATATTGTGTTACTCATTGGTTCTTGTGTAGTTATTCATTAACGAAGGAACCGTATTATAAAGTGTTACCGGAAACAGTACTAAAGGTTGAGCTTGATAAAAATAAAGTCAACACTGCAATTTACTTAACACATTGAGAAACTTAATATGAATTAATTAGTAAATAAGATGATGTGTACTACAGTCATGTTATTCAATTGGTGTCACAATTATAATAAATTAGGGCTGTGCAAAAGTTAATTGTGATTAATCGCATCCAAAATAAAAGTCTGTGTTTACATAATATATTTGTGTGTGCTGTATATAATTATTTTGTATAAATAAATACCTATGCATGCATGTATATATTTAAGAATTATTTGTGCTTAAATTCTGTATATATTTATAAATGCATAATCTATATTATATAAATATAAATATTGTATATATGAATAACACATTTTCTTAAATATATACATGCATGTGTGTGTATTTATATATACAAAATAATTATATACAGCACACACAAATATATTATGTAAACACAGACTTTTATTTTGGATGCGATTAATCGCAATTAATTTTTGCACAGCCCTATAATAAATTTGTGTTTTGCATGCTAAAATTAGCTAATTGTTACAAAAAAAGTTTTGAATGAAAATAATTTTAACAAAATTATGACACTTTTTCATTTTCATTGTTGCATACAGTCAGAAAAGTAGACGATAAAATCACCATATTAAGTGGTTAACATTGGGTGTTTAAAAGAGGCTACTTTTGTTGTAGGTTAATTTTTCACAAGAACAAAATATGTTTTTGGTGCCTCTAATCCCCCAAAAAATGAGAGACAAAACTGCATCCTTTCCTTTTTGTGGAATTTGGTGGATCAGCAAACACACCCATGAGCAAAGAAAGTAATGCAAATTGCAAGATAGCCTTCAGCGGCAACTGTAATGACTACTGACCTGTTCATGATTAGTATTATGGTGTTTGAGTCTAATGGTATGTTTCATAGTGTCAGAGACAGTCATGTGTTCATTACTCAAAGCCCTTTCCCAGACTAGGCCTATAACTAACCAGTGCATCAAAAAACAAAAACTGATTTCTCTCCCTGCCTCTTTTCGAGAATGCTTAGTCACTCCATTCCAAGGGGAATCAGCTAGAGATCACAAGGTGAGACGACCTGAAAACAACCCTAAAAACATCTGGATCCAGTCAGTCAGCATTTGAGTGTGTGTGTGTGTGTGTGTGTGTCTAAGCATGAAAGAGTGTGTTTGTCCAGCCGTGTGTGGGAGATTATGGAACAAAAAGCTGGACAAAATCGTAGAAGTTCCCGAGAGGAGCATCTGCTGGTGTGAAAAACACAGAGAGAGAGAAAGAAAGAGAAGTGTGAGCAAAGAAAGATAAATTCCATGCTATGCAGGGGGCGCACAGACGTGGGGGCTGTAGTTTTTTGTAGAGACGTCACCGTTTGTTGCTCTGACTGTTTGGGGTGGAACCCAAATATTCTGAGAAAACTCTTATGAAAGATCAAGTTTAGTCCAAGTAGAGCAGAGGTCTCTCCCACAAACACAGAGACACCCTAATTCTCGTCAAAGGGTGGAGCACACTGCATACAAATATACAACTGCCAGTCATCACAAATGTCTGGATGAGATCTACACTCATTCATTGCAGCCTTAGTGGAAACAGAGCAGCTTCCTGAGCATTTTCCAACTGTACTTAAGAATGACCATGTTGCAGAGGGAAATGTAGGCGAGAAACCTTGATTACATTCATTAATACTCAGTCCAGGGGAGATGGAGTCCTCCTTTTGTCCTCCCTTTTGCCTGTTTGACTCATTGTTTGGCATTAGGCTGAACCCCCACCCACTTGACTAGTGCAGGAGGGGGATGTTAAGTTCCCACCAATAAGATACACTCATTGACTCAGTCATAGATGACTACCCAATTAGGTTAAAGAGATTTAAACCAAGCCGTTAGTAGCAGGAAACTACTTGATTGTATGTTAATAAGCTGCTGATGCTTACTAATCCATTATAGGTAGGTGTATATGTATTACATATTATTGCAAATAGTATTCAGCAGTTCAACCGCTCAAAACAACTTTTCTCTACAATGTTTATGAAAATTCACACATACACTGTCTACTGAGAGGAATTTTAGTTCACATGGTGGAGTTTGTGGAAAGTGTAGTTTTAGTTCACATCAGTCCACAGTTGGCCTCTAACTTGCTCATAAAACAACCATAATATTGTTGTTGTCTCAGTTACATCCATCATTCAAGAACTGATACAATGCAGCTGCACTCCCTGACACACATTCCTGCAGCACTTCCCACAATTCTTCTCTCCCACAACAACAACTTTGGGATGTTAAATAGTTTCAAATGTTCATCATGCTATCTGGGCAAGTAAAATTTTGAGCTGTGAGGTCTTTTAAATGTATATACATTTATTTACTATATAAAAGCAGACGTGATGCATATAAAGCCATTCTATAATCATCAATAATCAATGTAATAAAGATTATTTTTGAGCAAATAGGCTACATTTTTTATTTAAATCAGAGTAATTTATTTTATTATTTTAGTTTAAGTTTTTTGCTTTTAGTTTTGAATACAACACTTATTTTACAATAAAAAGTGACCAATACATATATATATATATATATATATATATATATATATTATTTATTTTTTTATTTTTTTATTTTTTTTTATAAAAATTTGTAAGTTTTGTCAGGTGTAAATGTAAATGGAGTAAAAACCGTCGCGAAGACCCGTGATCAATCTACAAATTATAGCCGCTCAAGGTTCTCTCTCAACCTGTTGCTTTAGTTGTCTGTCTCTGTTTTCTATTTCTAAATCATGACCAAAATGAAAACAGATAAATAACTTACGTGAAAATAGTATGAAAAGAATCCAGGAACCGTGTAACAAAACCATGATCCAGTTTAGTGTGGTTAATATTACAGCTATCTAGTCCATCTTGTCCCGGACTGTTATTCGCTTGCTTCATCTCGGTCTGCTCTGCGCTGGTTAGGGTTAGAAAGAGCGGACTGTACCACTTTATTGAAGGGGGAAGAAACTGTGAAAATTGCACAGGCTTTATGCTAAACGGCTATTGAAATGAAAAGTAATTTGATAATATATAGCCTATATAAATAAATTTCACGAAATAGTTGTCAAATAACTATTAAAAACTACTTTACATAACAGCTATCACGATCTCCCAATCTTCTAAAGTGGATGCGTCTTTCAGAAAAATAGCAACTGGGTCTGCAACATATTGAATTCAACGTAAAAAGTACTATAGGGCTGTAACTTAAGGTGACTTTAGAGCTTGCTCTTGTTACAAAACCCCATGTTAATGGAAAAAAAGAAAAATAAACAGTCATACATTCAGTATTTTACAATCCGTTATTTATTTAGAAAGTGAAAAGCAAGTGTGTGTAATTAATTCTAGCCATTTTAATAAATTCCAACATTGTGCCGTAAAATTACTGAAAATGTCCTAACAGCTCGTAAAACTGCTCATAAGAATTATAAGGATTGCAAATTATACATGATTATAATTAAGTAGGGCGTATTTCATTGGATGAAAAAAAAAACCATACATAACATGACAAAGCTTTTTCCATTCTTATAATAATATAGAAATGTACAAAAAAAAGTGTCACCGTATAAGCACCATTCTGAACACCTGCCCCAAAAAATGACTGAACACATGCATGATTCAGAAGAACAAAAATATGATTTTGCCTAATTACTTGAGTTAAGCTGAAAGTCCGAACAACAACAACAAAAAAACTATATGCTGTATATAAAATACTACTACAATCCTGTCAAATAAAACAAAAAAGTAAATAAAAAAGGATAATTCGTTGAGGTCAGAGGAATCAGTTGCATTTGCCACTGCAGGGATAAAGAACAATTGTATTTGATTATCAACACAGAAAAAAATATAGAGGCCTTGGCTCACGGCCATCCTCCTTATAACATTTTGATGGCTGTCATAATAATTCAATGGTTCATCACATACTGATTATCATACTGATCTTAATGATTTTATCTATAGCGATATCTATTGTCATCATACTGATCTCTGCGATCATCATACCTATCTCTGAGGTCATCGCGGCTACCTCTGCGATCATCATAGCGATCTCTGAGGTCATCGCGGCTACCTCTGCGATCATCATTCCGATCTTTGAGGTCATCGCGGCTACCTCTGCGATCATCATACCGATCTTTGAGGTCATCACGGCTACCTCTGCGATCATCATACCGATCTTTGAGGTCATCACGGCTACCTCTGCGATCGTCAGAGCGATCTCTGAGGTCATCACGATCTCTGAGGTCATCGCGGCTACCTTTGCGATCGTCATAGCGATCTCTGAGGTCATCACGGCTACCTTTGCGATCATTGCGATCTCTGAGGTCATCACGATCTCTGAGGTCATCGCGGCTACCTTTGCGATCGTCATAGCGATCTCTGAGGTCATCACGGCTACCTTTGCGATCATTGCGATCTCTGAGGTCATCACGATCTCTGAGGTCATCGCGGCTACCTTTGCGATCATCATAGCGATCTCTGAGGTCATCACGGCTACCTTTGCGATTATCATAGTGAACGCTGGTGTCATCAGGGCTACCTCTGCGGTCATCATGGCGGTAACTGTGGTCATCACGGCCACCTCCATTGTCATCACTTCGAGCTATGTCAGGTCTCTCTTCAGTGATGTGCACATTCCCTTCATCGATGTATTCTGTTTGTGGTGTGTCATGGTATTCCAGCACTGGAGTTCTAAATAAAGTAAACACAGATTAATAATAATTAAAAAGAATAACTTAATAAAAACCAGAATCACCTAAATACCAACAAACACATAATTTATTGCTTCCAGAGGATAAATGGTGACCTATTCCACTTGACTCTTACGCTCTTGATTTCTGTTTCCGTTTGCGGACACAGCAGATGATGAGTATTATAAGCAATGCAGCTCCAGCAATACAACCAGCAACAATGCCTATTGTGGCCATATTCATAGAGGCTGTAAAAACAGAAAGGAATGGAAATTAAAATGTAGCAAAATTAAGCTGAAAGTCTCATTTCATGCATTGAAGGTAACAAATCATGATAATCTGACTTTTTCTGTGTTTAAGTGCTATAATTGGGTCCCCGGTGCATCTATCAACCCAGAAAACGTGAAAAGTGACGACCAGTGACTTAGTTTTGGTAAGCTTTTTCTCTACAAGCATGTAAAAAAAAGGCCAATCAGATTTTGCTCCCCTTCTGATGTAGAAAGGGGATATTATAAATATTACCAACAATTAATCTGCAATTAAAGTTTCCACCCACGGTGCTGACATTTGGTTTGTGCAAGTGACAAATATGTAACCAATTATAACACAATGGGAAAAGTTTGAACAAAGCATGCAAACTGCTCTGTCATTGCTCCACAGATGAACACAGAAGTCCCAGCCTCAGAGGAGACGAGAGAGCAGTGAATTTATTTTATTTTAAACGGAAATCCCCCAGAAACAGATGAATAAATGTAGCTAACCATTCAGAAAGGTCCAGGTGCAGTCTGGCTGCACTCCACTACTGGTTATTTCTGAGATTTTGGATGACTGAGATTCGCATGTTTTGTTATTGTATCCGAACTACAACGCATTCTCACCCCAAGACATCACCTTTGACCATGCTTCAATATTTGACGTTTTAGGCGCCCTTTAGCGTCACTTATATGACGCGATCCTACGGCGTCATCTAACTGACGCTAAAGGAAAGCGTCAGTTAGAGGACGCGGTTAGGTTTAGGTGTGGGGTGGGGGTAGGGTACACGCGATCCTAGGACGTCATCTAACTGACGCTAAAGGGCGCCTAAAGCGTCAGATATTGAAGCATGTCGAAATGCTTCCCAAGGCGTCAGTTAATTTTAACCTAAAATTACCATAAAACTGTCAGATCGACTTTTCCGATAAACCTTATTGCTATCTGTTGTTTTTACAAGCAACAACGTTTTAATTTTTACTGCTAAAGAGTTAGTTAAACCAAAAATAAAAGTTTTGTCATTAATTATTTCACAATACAAGATCTTGTATTGACAATGCAAGAGTCAAGCTGTAAAGTTTACTCGGTACAATAATCTGGTACAATAATCAAAACATGATAAAATAATCTGAACAAAATTAAATACTCATATAAATTTATACAGAAAGAAAGCAGGCATACTCACCTGGCACTACAGACAATGTCATGTTACATTTGGCTGATCCGACCTTATTGGTTGACATGCAGATATAGTAACCTGATGTCTCCATGGATACATTGACCAAAGCCAGAACTCCATCCTCTGTTACACAAAATCATGTGAAAACTTTAGCGTTTAATGACAAAAAAAGTTATGGTAACACTTTAGAATACGGTTGCTTCGTTAATGAATAACTACACAAGAACTAATGAGTAACACAATATTAACAATCTAGTAACTATTATTAACTAACAAGAAACTCTGATTAACGAACTAGTAAGTAATAGCGCACAGATGAAAGAGGTAGTTCACTATTAAGTAATCAATAACTACAATTTTTTTAATACTTCCCAGAGAACTACTGAACAAGTTTATTAACAATCTAGTAACTACTATTAACTAAAATAAACTCTTATTAACGAATTAGTAAGAAATAACTCACAGATGAAAGTGTTACTAGATACTTCTGTGGGAATTACTAATTATTTGGATCCGTATAAAGTGAAGATCATTGGAACTAACTAATTACTCAAGTGTTACTACATGATCTAGTCATGATTTGTGCAAATGTTTGAGATTTTTGGTGAACTTTAGTCACTTTTAGAAAATGTCTTTAGTAACACTTGAGTCATTAGTTAGTTCCAATGATCTTCACTTTATAATACAGATCAAAATAATTAGTAATTCCCACAGAAGTATCTAGTAACACTTTCATCTGTGAGCTATTACTAATTCGTTAATAAGAGTTTATTTTAGTTAATAGTAGTTACTAGATTGTTAATAAACTTTTTCAGTAGTTCTCTGGGAAGTATTAAAAAAATAGTAGTTATTGATTACTTAATAGTGGACAACCACTTTCGTCTGTGCGCTATTACTTACTAGTTCGTTAATCAGAGTTTCTTGTTAGTTAATAACAGTTACTAGATTGTTAATATTGTGTTACTCATTAGTTCTTGTGTAGTTATTCATTAACGAAGGAACCGTGTTATAAAGTGTTACCAAAGTTATTAATCTAATCCACTGAAAGAGAGAACAAACTTACTTTCAGTGGTTTTAATAGGAAATGCTTTTGGGACATTTTTGACATCATATCTCTCCCATTTGTATGTGGGCGATGGCGAGCCCTCCTCGGAAACACAGGTTAGGCTAATATCGTGTCCATATTCTGCGGTGCCTACTACTTTACAAACAGGTTGTGATGGTGCAACTATAAGACAAATGTAGATATTATTTTTTAAAAAGGATTCAGCCATATTATATGGAATTTTTATTTTGAGATTTTATTAAGTTATAAGTTTGACAAAGTGCCAGAGATCTTACCCTGAACCAAAAGAGAAGTAGAGTCAAATGTTTTGCCTTCAATGTCCCCAGGAATCTGAACATAACATCTAATTATTCCACTTTCTTTAAGAGTGACTTGTTTTAATGTCAGTTTTGATGTTTTTGCACCAAGGTCAAACTCTACTGTGGCTTTGCCTACATACTGTGGTCCAATGTCTACTTCGTGAGGATTGGAGTAATAGGTACCAAAAATTACCTACAGGGCCAAAAAAGGAACCAATCATTGTTTTTACACTTACCATGGTTAGTGGTATTTTGGTAGACAGTTGAAGTTTATCAATACTGTCATTACAAAAAAATTGGTTTACCTTGTCTTCAGATGTCTCATCGGAATGACCACTCCATGTTATAATGATAAGAGTGTTACTGTTTACTTGATTTTTAGGTTTAAAATTGCATGTAAGGGTGACATCATCACCCCTGGCAACCTCCACAGAAGCTTGACTCATTGTCACATCCAGTCCAAAAGTAGTCGACATCACTATGAGGCAAAAACGAGAACTTTGTGAATATCACACAATGTCACAAATTATTAAGACATTTTAAATACTCAGACTTCAAGCGTGGGAATAATGTTTGAAATGCAGAATTCGCAAATAACATTTCACAAAACTTTAAGAAACATGAAACTCAAAACTGTTTTTATAATAAGAGAGAATGATCTGAAAATATTTAGTAAAATTCCTTGTATTTCTGCATTTGAAAATCAATCTCATTTACAGTATCACAAATCTACATCACAAGTAACCTAAATCAGCAATACATTTGGTGTTATTATTATACATTCTGCTAAAATATGAACTTATTATTAATATAATTTCTTCATTTAATTATTTAATATGAAATCATTTCAGTATTTAAGAATGCATGAGTCCAGCTTATTTGTAAACTGCCTACTGAAGCTTTTTATTGTGTCTAAAGATTATTATAAATTATTATTATTATTATAATTGTGTCTATTATAAAAATGAATGAATGAAACAAGTAGCCATTTTGTAGCCCTGGTGAAAACATTAATAACATTATTACTTGAAAACATATTTTAAATTAAATTTAAGTGTCACTTGTTGAACAATTGACAAGAAAACAAATCACTTGTGTGATCCACACTGTTATCTAACATATAGTGTCATTGATTTGATCTTGATGTACTCGATGTAAATGTAATGAAAGTGACCACCTCACCTGATATTAAATATAGGCTGCAAAAAATCCACTTCCAGTTGGTCATTTTGTCGATGTCCAGTCACACAGCAATAGATGATGTTTTGGTGAATTAGGGGAATTTGGGGCAGTTTTTCTTCCGCAGTCTGTACCTGTGTGACTGTGTCTACCACACCTTTAATGCACTTTGGACCCTTTCCTCTCACTCAAAGTTTTACAAGTTAGGTTGAAACAAAATGGCAGATGTGATGTCATAACCAGGTCATAACAGTCATATTAGTAAAGGGAGTCATTGCTTGGAAATGAACTGACATACTATGTAATAATGGGGTAGGGGTTGTTGCCAGTAAGGGACAAACTACATATTAGTTCTTGAATTTTATTCTGGATGATTTGTATACAATATCACTTGATAAAACTTACGTTTTACGTACATAGGGCACACTCACTAACAAGCTACTTGTGTTCATGTCAGTATAATATTAAAAATATCATAATGTTTCTGTCTTTCGAAAAAACAATCTAGTCTAACCCAGGGGTTCTCAACTCCAGTCCTCGGGACCCACTGCTCTGCATATTGTGTATGTCTCCCTTATTTAACACACCTGATTCAGATCCTCACATACAAAATGTGCAGAGAACCCCTGGTCTAACCTCAAACAAGGATGTACATACCAGCTGTGGTGTATTGCCATATATCTGACCAGCAGATGGCAGTGAATGAGCCATAATTGAAATCAGAGCGTTTGAGAACAGTTCATTTTTCCATTTGGTAAAGAACTATTGATCTTCTTTACCAGACGCCATGCTGACAAAAACTGCTTATGCTAGTTAACAGACTTGTTCTCACTCTTTCCATTTAGACTATTTAAAAAAAAAAGTATAAATTAAACACAAAATTGCATTCTTTTTTTTACTGTCAAAGTGTTTGTTGTATTTGGCCTTTCAGTACGTTATCCAGAACTCAACTTTATTTGTTATATTATTTTATTACATATTAACTTACAATATGTACACAGTCTATTTAATAGTTGAATAATAAAGTTTTTTTTATAAAATATCTGAGATTTGTTTTAACTGGAATTTAATTTCCAGTTATCATCAATGAAACTAAACTGAGATAAATAATGACACTATTATCTTGCAACAGCAGCATTACAACAGAATTAGAACGTGTCTAATCAAATTACTGAAGTTTGCGTCATTAAATCTGTTACTCTCATGTTGTAACTGTGTCATCATTTTGCCAATGTTTTATATAATATATAATATAGCTACGTTTCTCAAATATCTGCAATAATGCAAACATCTTTTCCCTAGGCCTAGACAAATGTAAAATTTTCAATATTTACTTAGCCTATTTATTATTTTCTTTTCACTTAAATGTTCATATAACATTTTTTAATCAATTTTTCCCTTTCCTTTTTCCTTTTTGCACAACCCAGCGCATGCAAGGTCTACGTGTAATTATGGTTGGTGCAGTTTTTTTATTTATTTTTTATTTTATTAATCGCAAGGTATCATAAATGAAAGCAATAGGCTACAGCACATAGCCTGTATGTATACACATACTAGTATGCATAAAAAACAAACAAAAAACAAACAAAAAAAAACAGAACAGAATGCACTAATAAAATAAATTAAACAGTTCAAACAAGTTTATGGTCTTAAGAGCTTTAAGATTCTTGGATGATGAGATATTTTGGATGTGATGATGTCAGTGAGTTTTTGGAGGTGGTTCTGGCCGTTTCAAACCAAACGCACTGATGATGGGAACCCTCTGATCTGCCATGCTGATGCTGTGGGTGAGTGCATCGGTGAGCCGCTGTATTGTGTTTTGAGGATTTGGGCTTAAATATTCAAAATGGCGGACGGAGGAGCAGCGAGTCAAGATGAGAGTTCAGGACCAGGTAATCATTACTGCATTTTACATATTCATATTCATATTCAAACACTCTTTCTCTCAACCCAGAAAAGCGCGGGAGAGAAAGCGTAAACAAAATACTCAAGCCCGATATTGCAGTCATATGCACCCTTTAAATAAACGTATCGGGCAATAATTCTCTGTCTGTGCGACGTGAAACTGGCGATGCAGTGCTACGGCAAATTAAAGGAAAAATGCCTCCTTTGTGTGATTAGAGCAGTCGCGTTACATATTCATACCGCCGCCGAGCAAACGCCGCTTTGCATATTTTATTAGTCATAATCGGCGACAGCTCGCTGGGTTTTGCACTATCCCCGGTCAGAGCTTGTAAGAATTTTACAGTTAATCTCAACTAAAGGCTACTGTGTGCATGCTAGGCGGCTAATGCTACTCCAGCGGCTTTGTGTTGCTGTATTGTGCCGTGAGCCAATCCCACATATAAAGCTTTGAATATTCATTCGCTCGCAATCAGCCGGCGTCTGCGCAACGTGTTTACGGTGAAAATATGAAAGAACAGAGCAGCGGGTTCTTGCTTGGTGTACAGTTAGGACATGGCGTGATTTTTTTAATGCCCATTCTCTTGCCTTTTGTGCCCACTGCAGGCGTGTAGTCCTGTTATGTTATTCATGTGGGCCTTCTAGAGATCAGAATGCGCTGTTCAGCGTATTCTATCAGAATGAATCCATTTCATTGTCGAAGGATGGCGGAACGTGCCAAAATGGAACTCTGACGGCAATTGATACAATGTTACAGGACAGTTGTAACAAATTGATATTTTGTAGCACAGCCAGTGTCTCTGGGCTACTCGATGAGATGTATGCAGGCATTATGCCAGCTTTATTTGCTAGTCTAATAGGTAATCCTCATATAGAGCCCAGCTTCTCCACTATTGTCCCAGCAGCTGTATGCTTGTGTATTTAGTTTATTATGCTCATTTGTATTTATTTTATTGTATTGTCCGTGAACAGGGGGAAAAAAACAGTTTTGCTCTTATGACAAATAATCTTTTGTCAAATTGCTTACATTATTAAAGATAACACTTTCAATCCAATCATAATGCAGTTCTAAATATCTGTGATTCTATGTAGATACGAGGGCAAAAGTAATCACAGTCGAGATGATATTCAAAACTAATGCACAGTTGGGAGTGTCAAGTCTGTTTTGTTTGTATAGCACTTTAACAAAATTTACAGAACCACTTTACTGAACATGTTTGTGATGTTTATAGTCCACATTTAGCAGTTTAATGCTGGGCTGTAGAGGCAAGTTTACGTTTGCTGATGATATAAAAGATCAACCAGATTTGTAAATACCACTGTATGTGGGTAAAGTTGGATATATCATGTGTATAATAGTTGTAAATTGAAGTTAGCAATATGTTTTGTGTTGATATTAAGGATTATGAAGTCTAAAAGATTGTGTTTTCAGTTTAAAACATTTTGGTGTTGTGATAACCTTATTGTTAGGTATTGTTGCCATGATTAAAATAATTATAGGCTAATATTAGTATTACTAACATTCATTTTTTTTAGTATCTGAATTAGATTTTTTTTAAATATACAGTATATCATTTTGTTTTAATTTGAGTTTGTTTCAGTAAATTTATTTGCTTTTGTCATTTTTGTATTTATTATACAGTTAGCCCTAATTTATTTCAGTATACTTTTATTTTTATTTTATTTGGCTGCTTTATTTTATAATTTTTTTTATGTAATATTTTATTTCAGCCTTATTTAAATTATTTTTAGCTAACAATAGCAACACTGGATGGTGCATATCTGGGTTTAAGATTTTGGACAAAACCCCACCCTGTAATATATTGCTTGTATGCAGTTCTCCCATTAATCAACACAGAGTATTTAAAGGTAAAAGTTGTCTTGGCCAAACAAGATAAAATCATTTTAAAACTTACATTTCTCTGGTGGTGTCTCACAACACGAGAAACTTAAGGGAAACAAATTTGCATTTGTTTTGTTTGTTTTAATTTACCACTTGGTTTCATGTTGAATCTGCTTTGAAATCCTTTGCACCAGTCTTAATTATCTTTTAACACGAATTCTCTGGATGGAATTATTTGGTTGACAATTTAAATTCGCATATAACTGTCTGGTTTCGATATGTCATTGAGTCAGGTGTAACAGACCCTGCTGTTTATCTGATAACAGTTTCACTTTGTGTAGTGCCTAGAGAAGCAATGACATGCCGTAACTTGTTTGTTTCCTCTGTCCACAGCTCATACCTAAAGTGTAAATTACCCACATAAATTCTTACTTTTATTTTAGAAGTAACTGAGACTTATCAAATGTAGGAGTGAAACGTCATGGCATTTTGCATCTCTTTTTGACCATCTGTCTATATTTCTTTTCTTGTTCTTGTGCTTTTCTTCATGCTCTGATAATGTGAACATGCAGAAACACTTCAGGCTAAAAGTTAATTAAAATGATTATAGACCTAAAATCAAGTTGTTGTTTTTTTGCCAGCCTTTGAGATTTTGTCGAACAGTCCTCTTTGTATTTATTTGCTGCAAATTGGAGTAACTTCATGCTTTTTGTGTCTTGTTGTTTAGTTAAAATGGTTTTAGGTTACAAAAGCCATGTGTGAAAATTGTGGTCTGTGATAGCAACCATCAAGTGTTTTTAGTGTTTCATCAGTTCCTCTGAAACTCAAATGGAATGTTTTCAAATATATCATTTTAATATGAATTACATTATTTGTTCATGCTTTCTCATAATGAATTATTATCCTCTGTCCTGCGTTCATGCCTGTTTTTAAAAGTATACTATTTGCATTTTTTTCTGCTAATTTGAATATAGCTCTCCAGGTTAGTTTAGCCTTTTCAAAGTGTGCCGGCTTTGGATACGAAGTTGTCTACTAAAGGAAAATTAAGAAATATAACCTTTGAAACTATCTGTTTTGTTGGATAATAATGCTAGTCTTGTCCTTTCATTATCCTCCTTTTGTTTGAGTCGGTTTTATCACTCTGAAAAAGTATTTTAAGTGTCTGCAAAAGTTCCTTACAGACGTTCTGATTTCTTTGCTTACTCCGTCAGATCTTTGTTCTAATATGTAAATCTCTGTTGTAATTAGGCCGAGCTCTGAAAATATCACTTAATGAGGTGCACAGTTATTTTGGATATGCAAAGCAGACTTCATGTTCTTTTCCATACAATACGGCTACAGAAGTCACGGGAATTTGATCCGTGAAGTGTTTGGGTCACAAGGGGCTGTGTGAATAGGATGGTGGAGAATGGCAAGTCATTTACTTCCCGAACAGCTCCATCCTCAACCTCTGGTGCTTAGAAATGTGTAAGAAACACTTCTCTACGCAACCTGCTGTCTTTATGTCCAGATACAGACCTCGCCGTTTTTTCCCCCCTTTGATCGCATTGACAGAAAGCTCACCTGTTTCACCTAATTTAACCAGCACTCGGTAGGTAATTGGGCTTGTGCATTGACACTCCAGCTTTTTTTTTCCCCATTCCTCATTTTTCCCTCCAAAGCGATCCAATTAATATGCAAATAAGATGATAAATATTTATGAACATTTAAATTAGGGAGAAAGCTCTCAGAGCGCCGTGCGAAATGAATTGCTTGCAGGACTTCAAAGTGTTGCTCGTCTAATGAAGTGAGGCCGATTTGCATATGGCTTTAATCAGCTGCATACTGATTACGCTTTATTACGGCTCTGGCAGCCGCTCCGCTTCTGTTTCGTTCCAGAATGAAAACGAACTTCTTCACACTCTAGTTGTTATGACAATCATGGCACAGGGAGAGTGAGAGAGAGCAAATCAAGCAAGCCGGAGAGACTGAGAGAAAGGCAGCCACAGTTTCAGCGAAGCTTAGCTGTGCTCTGCACGTGTGTTGTTTTTCCACTCCAGTCCGTTTAGTTAAACCGAGACTTCATTGCTTTTGAGTGTTGTCAGCGAAAGGGGCGCTAAGTTTGTTGTGATGCTCGTAGAGACGCTTGAGAAGGGGAGTGTAGCAGCTGCCGGTGAGTGATATTTGCTGTCAGCAACAACATTAAGGTCTGGTCTATTGTATAGTGATGCTGTTACTATCTAGGGTTGAGTAGGGGACATGTTTGGCTTATAAATCCAAATGGTGTAATTAACAAAGCAAACATGTCCACTGCTCAAACCAAGGAATTTTTGAAGTGTTTACTGTAAAACGTTTTTTAGTCGTATGGTTTGAAATAAAAAATGGGAATTAATTCATTTTTTTGTGATGTTGAGGATGCTGTCTCACTTTCGAAAGTCACTGAAGCTAAAACTGAAAGTCCGGTCTTCCTCTGTCTGTTGTAGATTCTAGAATGAGTAATCCATCGGAAACAAGTAAATGTGCAATGGAGAGCGGGGACGAAAACACTGGTGAGTTACCCAAGGAACCGTTGGCTCTTTGGAGATGTCTGGCTTGCATGTTGTGCCTTTCATGTATTTTTCCCCATTGATTGCTCAGATCATTTTGCCTGATCCTTCCAGCACAGCTTTCTTTTAGATTTTCATAAGCGAGTTAAAGACTATCAGTTCACTGTTCTAAAGGGTCGCTTGTGCAGCTTTGACTGAGGTAGAGCAATCAGGACAATGTCTCTCAATATAAATCACCGTCAGAAGTTTTTTTTTTTTTTTTAATAAAAAAGGCCATGGAGCTGAATAACTTGGCTGAAAAGACCTTTTTGTGTGTCCCTGATCTATTGTGGCATTGCCTGCTTTTCTTCTTCCAGGTGCCCAAACAAATGGACTGGACTTTCAGAGGCAGACTGTGCAAACAACAAGCGCAATCACCAACGCACACGCACAGGCCTTGCTCCAACAGGTATGATCTTTTTCTCTGAGCTCACACACACACATTTGTGGTCTTTGTCATGGATGAAAGAGCTATAGGAATTTAAAGATGTCCCCAGGGACATAGCTCTCGTGTGTCTGAGTCACTAAACTGCCACTGTCTTGAAATGGATGTGTGATTATAATGTCTCAGAGTGACTGCTCAGGCTTTCCACCTGATGTCATGAATTGTTTTGTCTGTTTGTATATAATGTGTGAGATTTGTTACAACTCTGAAGATTAAAGCTTAAAAGCGCAACGTTTTATCTCCTGGTTGCAGGGGAAATTATTGGGCCCCATATGCTAATGAGCTGCTCTGCAGTTGCTCGGAAACAGATGGTTGAGAATATGCAAATCTATGCAGAATTTACATGTACTGCATAACCGTTTCGTTAATTAGCATACCCGCTCTGCTCTCCGCTTGAAGTCTCAGAAGGCTGCGGTACATTTATATCACCGTACATGAGCATCAAACAAAACGTATTTTTGCTAATACAATTTTGGGATGGTCTTAATCTAGATTTGCCTTCTCTGATTGACACCACTTCCACAATAATTGAAAAGCACTCTTTATTAGTCCTTCTTTGCTTCTACTACCAAACTGGAGCTTTTAAACCAGGAAAAAAACATGACCCACATTGTGCAATAGTGTTCAGCAGCGGTAATCTATCCGCCTTTTGTCAGCAGTCTTGGTTCTGGAAGTATATTTCCCACTCATTTTTTCCCTCAGGGATTTTAAAAAAGTCTTTAAAGAGTTACCAATCAACCACGAGGTGAATCAAAACATTTTATTTAAAAATCAGACAAAAATACAGTTACAAGACTGTGTGCTTAACGACTTTAATGAGGCGAAAGAAGTACAATCCCCTGAAGCATTGCGAATGACAAAATTGAATTAAAATCTATGGAGAGCAAAGGAAGACTATTACGCCTCACTGTACTTCATGTGTTATAGTGTTCTTTTGGTTTTTTCTTTGGATTTCTTTGCAGAATCATAGGTAATGTAGTTCGTAGGGGTGTAACGATACCCTCATGTCACAATTCGATACATATCGCGATACTGAACTCACGATACGATATTATTGCGATATTCCAAGACAAAATGTATTAAATTGATTAAAAATTGATTAAAATGCCAATTTGATATTACATTCAAGGGTTAAACGAATAGGCTTGGACTGGGTGCTTGTAATCCAAGGACAATGGTGACACCAGAATAACAATATTCATGATTCTGAAGCTGAAATTACTATTGTAGATGAATATGCTTGCACGCTTTCTCTGACTAGATATATTTAAAATAATGTCGGCCACTTTTTACTGGTAACTTCAGACATTTGGCATTATCATGACCCACAAATATTCCCCCCATTGCATTATACATTATGTATAGTGTTGTTCTAATGTTTGATGTAGTTTTTTTTAATTATTTTGGGCGGACTACCCACGATACCTTGTCAGTGTCCACGATACGTATTGTTGCATTTTTGTATTGTGATATATTGTTACACCCCTAGTAGTTTGTCACCAAGGATTCTGTTTAAAAAAAATAATTATTTTAAAAATAAGTTGAAATAATGTGGTCCAACGTCTTCAACAAAAGCATAGACCATCGTAGCTCACAGTAGGTCTGTCTTTAAAGTTTTATAAGTTATGGATTTTTGGATTCGGGGGGGAACATGTTAAAATGATAAATTATTGGAATTTTTTTTCTTAATTTCACCAATAAAAATTGTTGTGTTCTGCTTTTCAACACAGCAGTGTTTCGTTACTGAATGAATTTGTGTATATTGTGAATTTGTGAGGGAGCCAATGATTCAGTAACCCATTCATAAAGTTTGAATAAATCTATTGAATGATTATTATTAATCTGCTATTAATTAATCTGGACATGTAATTAGATGACAAATATGTAATTGCTTGACAGCCCTAATTATAAATCGTGGTCAACTATAAATGTCACATTTCAACAATGACAACTGAAAATGTATAAAATTATTGTTTATGCCTTTTAGCAAAACAAATATACTATAAACAGTTGGGGGTTACGCTTTTTGAATAATGGATTAACTTGCACCTTAGGAAGACTATATAATTTTGTGTGAGCCTTGTGAAAAATGTGGTCATTAGACATAAAATGAATTGCTGTCTGTGTCCTCTTTGTGTCAAGTTGACTTTGACTCCAGCGCAGCAGCAGTTATTGATACAGCAGGCTCAGGCTCAGCTCCTGGCAGCAGCGGTGCAGCATTCAGCCGGCCAGCAGAGCAGCACCACAGGAGCCAACATCTCCGCCTCCGCTGCCACCCCCATCACCCTCTCTCAACCCATCCAGATCACACCTGTAAGAGAGACTCCTAAAAGGGGCTTGTTTTATTTTAAACTCTAATGACGTTTCATGCAAATTATCCAGTGATTTATTCAGTGCTTTTGCTTGGGGCTGAATTTTCTAGTGCTGTTGTTTTTAATGAAGAAGCCCCATTCTTTCATTATTTATGTTTTCATTTGAAAAAATGGCATTTCAGTAAAGGCAAAACAAATTGAAATTACAGACATTAATGAAAAAGCTTTTAAAATGTAATCACTAATGAATTGAATTACATTTAATTACTAATAAATAATTCAAACTAACTGTAATTCACAGAGCTCAACAATAAGGATTTGCCCTGGCAGTTTTTTCACCTGTCCTGGGGATGTCTCAAGTGTTAAAGTGAAGTGTATTTTTAATTAACATTAATAACAAATGTTATAAAGAAAAAAAAAAAGTTTGAAATATTTGGCTTTTGGAAAGATACATGTCCCCCAGCTCTTCAGCTATTTACATGAAGAAAGCTGCATCTAAAGTATTTGGAGAATCATTGTACCCAATATAATATGATAAAAATTTGCAATGGATAAGAGAATTCAGAAAACAGTGTATCATATGATTAAATGATATACTTTGCTGGTTTTGATGGCAACAGCAATTTCGTTTTCAAACAAAATTTAAAACGTCTTTACTGTCAAATCTATTGTAATTAATGAGGTTGTCATGGCCATAGCTGCACTGGTGCTCTCCGGAAAAGTGACGCACACTAACATTCTTCTTACTATGTGTGTTTGTGTGAAACAATGCAGCAGTTACAGCAGCTGCAACAGCAGCAGAACCTCAACCTGCAGCAGTTCGTGCTGGTCCAACCGGGACACCACATCGCAACACAGCTGCAGCCCACGCAGTTTATCATCTCGCAGACGCCACAGGGCCAGCAGAGTGAGTCCTCTTAACCTCCTCAGATCTCTTTGTCCCTCAGTATGATCAGTCTATCTGATTGTTTGGTCCTTCCTCTTGTGCTAAACAGGTATCCTGCAAGCCCAGAACCTTCTAACTCAACTACCTCAAAGCCAAGCCAACCTCCTGCATACCCAGCCAAGCATCACTCTTGCCACACAGGTCAGGGATATCCCATTTACACACTGGATCTATTTTTATTCAGTCCAATTTTACCAATTAAAAAAAAAAATTTAAAGACCAATTTTACTGGTTTTATTTGTTAAAAAAAATCTTCATAATCAGAAATTATTCTAATGTGCTGATTTGGTGCTTTAGAAATATATATAATTTTACTGCCTAAAACCGCTATACAGTTTTCAGGAGTCTCTGGTGACTAGAACACCATTTATTTGAGTCGGAAATCTTATATAAATGTCTTGAGTGTCACTTTTGGATAATTTAATGCATCAGTGTGGAGAAAGGTCCATCCAGAAAACGTTTGGGAACCACTCAGACTATTGCTGTTTTCATTATTGTTTCTATATAAAATTCAGCTGCTGATGCCCAACTATCCTTGTCTATCTCTATACGTTTATCCTTATGCTTCACAGCCTGCGACACCTACGCGCACGATAGCAGCGACCCCCATCCAATCCCTCGCTCACAGCCAGACGACACCAAAGCACATCGACACACCCAGCCTGGAGGAGCCCAGTGACCTGGAGGAGCTTGAGCAGTTTGCCAAGACCTTTAAACAGAGACGCATCAAACTGGGCTTCACTCAGGTAAACCAGGCTTCACTGGTCTCACAGTTTGTGTTGTCTGTTGTTGATTTCACTATTCAAAAGTCTCTGCTGTTTGGTCATCCATGTCATTGCAGAAATCGTGACTTATTTTAATAATTTAAAGACATTTCTTCTTTAACTGGGACTCATTAGGTGACTCGAGTAAATTTTGAATGTCTGAATGTTATTTTATGCTGTTCCAGGGGGATGTTGGCCTTGCCATGGGAAAACTTTATGGAAATGACTTTAGCCAGACCACCATTTCTCGCTTTGAGGCCTTGAACCTGAGCTTTAAAAACATGTGCAAACTGAAGCCCCTGCTTGAAAAATGGCTCAATGATGCAGGTATGTATTTTCTCTGCTCTAAGCCATCTTCCTCCTTTCCCTCCTCTGTCAAAATAACATTAGAGACCATGAAGAATGTTAGAAAGGATATGAAGATTCCTGTCGCATTCCTCTTTAGTTTTGGAGCTCCTCTCAGGGTACTAGCGTCAGAGTGAACGAATGCGTCGGTGGTTTGTTATATAAAACAAATCTTTAACTTAAATAATGTTGCTAAGTAGTATAGCTGATGCTCCGAGACATGTCTGCATTGCTGTTTGCCACAGCTGCTTATATCAGTCTCCCTTTGTGCTTTTGTGCGCGCTGTTTGTGCAGAGAACCAGACTTCTGAACAGGCCCTGTCCAGTCCCAGCTCTCTTGGCTCGCCTGGGCTGGGCATAGAGGGCTTGAACCGCCGCCGCAAGAAGAGGACCAGCATCGAGACCAACATCAGAGTGGCCTTAGAAAAGAGCTTTCTGGAGGTGAGCGACATCTCACATCAGAGCTTATTCTGAGACCGTGGTTTAAGTTTAATGGCACAAAATCAACCTTCAGTTTTCATTATCAATGAAGGCTCGGGGGTTTAACCCGACCACATGGCAATGACAAATAAAAATTGTGACAGAAAAATGTTTGATAAAAAATTATTTAATAATAATTATAAACTATTTTCTGTAATTCAGTTTACACAGATTTATTTTGCATTTCATTTGTATTATTTTATCATTTACACTTATTCAGTTTCATATTGTATTTGTTATAATTTATTATTATTTATTGTACTTATTTTATACAAAATAATAATTTATGCTTGACAATAATAATTATGTATTTATAAACGGATATAAATTACATGATATTGTTCATTATTATTTTAATAATAATTAGTATTTATGTGCAGTAATCCAGCTTACGTAGATTTATTTTACATTGCATATTATTATTATCATTATTATTAGTAGTAGTTGTAGTAGTGTACTTTTATTACTACTGTTTAGTAATTTTGCTGTTAAAATCAGTTCTGTAATTTAGTTTTCACAGGTTTTAATATAATTTTATAATATTTTATTAGTTTAGTTGTAGTAGTAGCGTACTATTAAATAATTAGTACCATTATATAATAATTATAATAATAGTGTAATATTAAACTTAAATAATCATTACCATTTTATAATAATAATAGTGTAATTTGAAACTTAAATAATCATTACTATTTTATATAAATAACTGTGTAAAAATATAAAAAGCCTCCTCTTTAACGGAAAGATATGTAGTGTGACAGTATTTGTGTACTGTTGTTTAAACATTTGATATTGTCCCAAAGTCAAATTTTCCTGCTGAATTGTTACCTCCTCAAACTGTGGACTGCAGTGCTTGTGAATTGTTTTTGCCGTAAGGGCGTTTCTTGTGCATTTGCCCTTTTCAAGCAGAACCAAAAACCTACCTCTGAGGAGATCACCATGATCGCGGACCAGCTCAACATGGAGAAAGAGGTGATCCGAGTGTGGTTCTGTAACCGCAGACAGAAAGAGAAGAGGATCAACCCACCCAGCAGTGGCAGCATCTGCAGCACCCCTATCAAAGCAATCTTTCCTCACACCACAACTCTGGTACGTCAAACTGCCCCAACCCCCCCGCCCCCTCACACACTTCATTCAGACCAACAGGTCTGACTGCTTAAAATAGTCCTAAACCTCTTCCTTCTATCCCCTGTTTCAGGTACCGAGTACAGCCAGTCTTGTGACCAGTAACACACCGACTACGATGACTGTCAACCCAATTACATCTCTCACCAGCACTAGCGTCGGTTTCACTGGTAAGCAAGACTGAAATGATTGAAAAAAAAATTCCTTACAATCTTTAAATGGGTCATACGTGCACTTTTTTAAGTTGATTGTACTGAAATGTGTGTTGGCAATGCCTGTACACAAGCATCATTTAATGATAAAAATCTTTCTAGTGTTTTTGTTTTAATCTCCTTATGCTTTTCCGTCTCAAATCGAGCCGTTTGTTCCCACGATTGTTGATTGAACAGCGTTTCAACACATCCCCGCCCTGAGCGAGCTGTCATCATAGTCCGTCATTGTTGATACGCTGGAGCAGAATGGCGTCTAAGCAATTGTGGTGTTCTGTTCTTGGCTGTAATTTTGCTTTTGGGTGTAGTTTTTTTTTTTCGAAGGAAATATTCCCCACCAGCAACGTCAATGCTTTCATGTTTGCGCGATTCGCGAATCTTTTCTCACTATTATATGACCCCTTTAAAAGATGATATTCTTCCTGCAGGCACAACTATTGGCTCGGCCACCACTAACACGGCATCGGTCATCTCCACTGCACCTGTGGTCACCACCGTAGCATCCTCTCCTTCGCTCAGCCCTTCCCCCAGCGTGGTGCAGACGTCCTCAGAGCAGGCTTCGGCTCAGGAGATAGTAGCGGCAGTGAGTCAGGCATCTTCCTCCTTGGCAAACACTCTGGGCACTGGGCAGGTGATGGTGGCGTCACCCAGCCTCACGGCTGCTCTACAAGGAGCTGCCCAGCTGCCCACCAGCGCCAGCCTCGCCGCCATGGCTGCAGCCGCTGGCCTCAACCCTGGGCTCATGGCATCCTCGCAGTTCAATCCTGGGTAAGTGTATTTGAATTTTTCTGACAAGCTTGTAATGGGATATCTTTGTGTTTAATGTTAATTCCATCTTTTTTCTGGTGTTTCCTGTGCAGCGGGGCTCTTCTTAGTTTGGCGCCAGGAGGTCTCGGAAGCGCTTTGAGTCCAGCACTGATGAGCAATAGCACCTTGGCCACAATCCAAGGTGTGTGGAGCGGCAAGTACACCTGTATTTACATTATGATTCTGCATGCAATTGTTAATCTTGGTGTCACCAGCTTGTTTTAAATAACAAACTACTGTTCAAACGTTTGAGGTCTTTGATTAATTTATAATGTTACAAAAGATTTCTATTTCAACAAAATGCTGGACTTTCTATCCACAAGTTTCCTACGCCCCATGAGGCCTTGCGTCAAAAGTGGGCGTGTCTTCCGGTTCGAAGTAAACAAGCGAGACGTGACACTCATTCATTCATTCCACTATCGAGGCATATCTTGTAGGCGCTATTATTATATTATATTATATTATATTATATTATATTATATTATATTATATTATATTATATTATATTATATTATATTATATTATATTATATTATGATTTCCATTACATGGGAGTAGATGTTAACATTTAAATTATAATTATAAATTAATATTTATAAATTAATATTTAAATTTAATTTAATTAAAATAAAATTATATTATGTTATATTATATTATATTAACAAAAAAATCTGTTCTTTATGGCTTCCAGGTTTCAACAAATAAATTAGACTTGAATTGTAATGATTGACTACAGTGCATTTCTAATAATGATACAATGCTTTTAATAAATGAAGGTAAACAAAATAAAAAAATTAGTAATACATAAATGTGTTCTTTATATCGTTCAGATATCAACAATCAAATTACAATTACAATATTAGTAACTAGCATCACTACTATGTATGCCCAAAAAAGCTGTTTTTTAATGAAACGATTCAAATCTAATCTTATGTATTTTTATGCACACTGTAGTGAACAGAAGTATGAGCTTATACAGCAATAGCAAAAGCACTTTCCACAAACATTGCAGTCCTACTGTAGGTTTACTAGAGATATAACACCAAATATAGAAAATCATTCACGACGAACACGCTAATCCACAAGAAACTGTGTGTAACATAAACCGTAACTGATGTCACTGTCATTAAATGATAGGCTGAGGTGCCTCACGTGATCCAAGTTAGCCGTTACACTTTTAGCCGTTACACTTCAATAATAAGACAATCTCAATAATAAGAAAAAACTTACTGATACCAAACTTTTGAATAGCAGTATAAGTTATCTGTTTGTAAAACAAACATGTTTTTAGTGGCACTGGTGTCAGTCTATACCAGGGTTTCTCAAACTCTGTCCTGGAGGGCCACTGTCCTGCATAGTTTAGCTCCAACCCTGAGCAAACACACCCGAACAAGCTAATCAAGGTCTTCAGCATCACTAGAAACTCACAGGCCCTCCAGGACTGAGTTTAAGGAACCCTGGTCTACACCCTCAAAAGCTTTCTGCATGCAAAATTTGCATACAATTCAAACTTTGTAAATTACTTATTTGCATACAATGCAAATCACCTAGGTGCATTTGGAATGCCTTTTTGTATTTTTATTGAAAAATATGACTTTTTTTGTGGGGCTGTTGTATTTTAACATGTTAATTTGGTGTGATTTAAATAATTTGTTGAAATTCTTAGCGTTTACCATGCCAAGTAAGAATACTTGACCTTTTGTCTGTTGTTAAAAACGTATACAAATTAGCTAAACTATTTCATAAATGAACATGCAAGGAATCTGAAGAATTGTAAAAAGAGGTGTTAACCATCTTATCAGTGAAAATTCCTTTATTGCTGCATCTCTGTTCTTGTGATTTTAGTTTGTTTAGGCAACCGCTCTGTTTCCAACACCAAGTTCTAATATTGATCTGTCTTCCTCTTTAGCTCTGGCATCTAGTGGCTCTCTGCCCATTACGTCACTGGACGGGAGCGGGAACTTTCTGTTTGCCAACACCAGCGCTGGCAGTACCCCTAACCTCATGACGACACCACTCTTCCTGAACCCTCAGAACTTGTCACTGCTTGCCAGTAACCCGGTCAGCTTAATGTCTGCAGGAGGGGCCGGGGGTGCTGCCGGAGCCCTCAATCTGCACATCACCGCCGATGCCCACCAGAGCGCTGTTACCACGGCAACTATGCCCGCCTCCACCATCACCACGGCCTCTAAGGCCCAGTGAAAGCTTAACCCACTCCTCTCCTCTTCTAGACCCCTTTCTTTAATATCTTGCTACCACCAAAAACAAACCCACTAAAAAAGGATTTGATGTTGTTTTAACGTTATTTTACCGTTTAAGGTTTGTGTGTTCTAACGTTACAGATATCTTTTTTCACACATTAATCAATAAGCGAATGTTGGCGTCACCACAGAGCTTGCATCAGGAGAGCAGAAACCTCCCTGGACATTGCTCCAAGTCTCCGTGCGACGCAAAAGCATATTCGTTTCAGCAAACTCACTCTCTCCCATTTTCACACTATACCTCTTCTTCAGAGGTTCTTCTGAGATGCTTTTAACCAAAAAACTGTTTACTCTGTGTTAAATGACACCTTCTTACTGCTGACCGTAACCGTAGAAAAAGGACACCTCATATTCTTCTGTCTATGATCTCTTCTCTTTCCACTGGAGATCCTGCTTTACAGATGTTCCTGTCCTCCTGGATCTCCTTTTAGATGCACATCATTTATTTTTGTCAAACAGTGGGTTAGCTTTATGTCCTATATCTTACTAACTTGTGGTTACAAGGCTTTAAATGGAGTAATAAGCGGCTGTGATGCGGTTTCATTGCTTTAAGGAATCGTTCGACTGGCCTTTCTTTCTAGTGAATATTGTTTTTGTATAATTTCGTAGTTTACTCAGTAGCAGAAGACTAGTCTGGGTCTCAATTCTGACCCAGTCACAGGCTTATTTAATACTAAAAGCTTTAACGAATTATGAGATGATTCGTCGAGGAGGGGTTGTTCGGCGTGGGCAACAGTGACCGAGCAGTGCTGTCTACTTTGGAGCTTCAGTAACTCAGAGCTCACAACTCGTACGTTAGCGTCAGGACTGTGTAACCACGTAAGGTAAACCTCCCCAAGGTCTTCCTAACATGGGATCTACTTTTGGTATCACCACCTGATTGTGAAGGTGTTGGTCAAGCCAGTTGGGGTGGATGATATTCAAGTTTGTTTTTGTTTGATTCTTTGATTTTCTACTTGTGCACAGTATCTGTACCAAAAAACTGGATTTGAGATCAGAAGTTCTGCTAAAAACCGAGCAGACTGCAGTCACGCTTTAAGAGGTCTTTATTTCGGGGGTCTTTGTATTGCCTCCATTTCAAGATATACCAAAAATCTTTGTTATACCTGTTGCTGTATATTGCTACTGTAGCGTAGTTTAAGCCTAAATATTTATGAGCAAAGGCTCTCGGTAGACCACAGGAAATATAATGCAATATTTTGATCTTTTCCAAAGACGAAAACAGTTATTTTCTTTCTTTCTTTCTTTTTTTTTTTTTTTTTTGAGATGGCTGTCCCTCCTGTTTTGTAGTATCAGTGCAACTAACCAAATAGATTCGAGTCGAGGTGAGAGTAGGGCGTGAAACTACAGCAAAGTACCAGTTTGAGGTTTGGGATTGTCCCTTCTGCTAGCAATTCATGAGGACTTTGAGTGAGAAAAATGGGGGAGTCTTCTTCCCATTGTTTCTGATAATTGAAAATTGTAAACGTGCGTGTGTTGGAAGTAATGCAAGTGTGTTCTTACCTGATGGGCTTTTTTGACTATTTCCCTTTTTTGTAGCTACAAGGTACCAGATTCAGTCCTCTTAAAAATACACTTCTCGTCCCCTGGGCCCAATGTGCTGGCTATACCATTGGGCAGTGGTTTTCAAACCAGGTCCTGGGGACCCATTTTGTACGTCTTTCTTATCTGACACAGTCAGTTGAGTTCTCCTAATGAGCTGATGATCTGTATCTATTGTGTTAAATGAGGTAGACGCACAAAATGTGTAGAGCGATGGACCAGGATTGAAAGCCTTTGCCATTGAGCTTTAGTTCCTAACCCTGGTCCTGGAGTACCCCCAGCACATTTTAGATGTCTTCCTAATCAAACACGCCTGATTCAACTCATCAGCTTGTTATTAAAGACCCTAAGACCTCAGATGGGTTGTCAAATAAGAGAAACATCAAAAATGTGCTCAGGGTTGGCAACCACAGCCATGTGGCACAGTAGTGGGCCTGAAATATCTCTTATAAGGGTGCGGGGACATAATTAGGGGTTTAGCCAAATGGTCTGTTTTGTTTTTCCCTACCAATGTAATGCAGCCATGATGTAAAGCTTGAACCAAAGTCGATTTCTCACTAGCTGCTGTGCCTGTGTGGGCCAGTGCAATGCTGACCACACTTTCACCACTCACTACTGACAAACTTTACCATTTATTACTCTTCTTTTAAATCCTATTCATTCATCTTGCATTGACCCAAAAATTGTGTTTGGCTTGATGAAGAAATATAGCCTCTCTAGCACAGCGCTAACTCGCTTTAGCTCTCGATGTCGAAGCATTTAACGATCCAAATAGAATCTTAAGGGCCTTGTGTTTAAGTGCTGTTGAGATTTTGGGAGTCTGTGTCCTTCGTTTCATTCATTCACCTACTCTGTGAGTCTTTGTTTTGGATGTGATCTTTTGGGTCTCAACACTGATGCTGTGTTTCAACAAATGAATAGCAATATCAAGAGTCCACCAAGATAATTTAGTTTAAAGTCCATAAAAACCCGTGGAAGTCCAAAAAGGCCCTGAATTTGTCCATGGGAAAGGTAGATTTTTAAGTGTTGCATTGGTTCATTGTCTAAACTTGGATTTTATTTCTTAAACGACCAATAAATACAGGCATTCTGGGAGAATTACAGTAGTATTTCATTTCTGTAGCATTGCTTTTAACTCTGTCACATTTTTTTAATTCTGTCACAAAGAGATCAGAGTCTCCACTTATTGTCCCTTTTGTGGTTTGTTACTGTGTTCCTTTCTGTATTTTTTTTTTCACGACTCTCTTTTTGCTAGCATTGCTATTTGTGTTATTGTAATATGATTTGAAATACCTCAGCAGCACTTACATGAAAGGTTCACTTTAGGCAAAACACCAGAAGTCAACTCCAGAATGTACAAAAGCTGTTTCTAACAGTCCATTTTTAAATGGCCAACGTGTAAAACAAAACTACAAAGTATAACAGGAGAATCTGTAATAATAATGTCACATAAGTCTACTACTGCTATTTCAAGTACTACTACTTAAAGGGTTTGTCCAGGTTAACTTGTAATATTTTGTTATCCTACTTGCCAAAGTTGAAAAAAAAAAAAGCCTTTGTCTTTGCGGCTGGGTCTTGTTGCTGCTCATTCCGCTGGTTCTGTCCGGAAATTTCAACGTAGCCTCTCTGGATGTGTAGATTTATGTGTTGTTTTGCGCATTAGTGTCATTACCCGGTGGTGGCGCCGGGACTGTGGGGAGTTACTGATATATTTATCTGAGGAATGACTCAAGGTTAGAGAACTTCTTTTCTAAATTCTATATATATTCACTTATGTAAGATGCTCATATTTTATATTTGAACTTATATCTAGTTTGAATGTAGTGTTTTTGTCATGCTTATTCACTAAAAGGAAAAAATAACAAAAAATTACTTCATTTATATGATAGCTATTCTAAGATAAAAAAAAAAAAGTCAAGACCAAAAATCGCAACCACACCCTTGTGATGTGGGAGTGGCTGTTGTGTGCCCCGCCCACATTGACATGTTTGTTTTGAGTGGGTGGGGCTTGTGATGGTGCTCTAAAGGAAAGCCCGCAGCTTTAGTTGATAGTTGACTTGATGGCACCAAACTACTCTTAATTTTAATTTTATTTTATATTTGGTTGTTGTTTTTCCTTTTTTTAATGGATTTAATTTGCCATGTTGCTTTTTAACAATCTTTTACAATCATTTGAATTTAATTACTTTATGCCTTTTTTGTATATCATGAGGGAGCAACGTCACTGGCTTTCTTTGTTTGACAAACTTGCGTTTATCATTTATGCCTTACTATTATTTCAGAGTTTGACACATTGTAGCAAACTGTAATATGTTGATGTTACAGATGATTTTGTTCGGTTGTGAATTTGTGTGTGCGTGCGTTAGTGAAAGATGACGCAACAGGGCATGCACCAATGTCAACTCACACGGTGCATATCAACCACGAAAATGACGTTGATATGTCACGCGGTGCATATCAACCATGAAAACAAGGCTGTGTTTTATTTGTGTTTTGTGATATTTTGGAAGTGTTACTGCCTATTATGTAGGCATAATTCAAGGCTGTTGGAAACCTGTTGAAAGCTTTACTAATAACTCAACTCCAGCTGATATGTAGGGGGCGCTAGTGGTGCATTACTTTGAAAGATGATATTTTAGAGAGGATCTGTCTGAGGTCACATTCTCAAGTGACTCGCTTTTCGGAAATACAGGATATTTTTTTTTTTTTGGTTTTAAGTGGATATAAGGAAGCGTCATACATCATTTGATGCAATTGACCACTTGGCTGTAAATGATATCCTTTTGAACCTGTGTGCACATGAGATGTTTCAGATGTGATTTATCCAACGGTGTTGAACCTGGCAACAGCTCTGTACATGTGAAGTTGTTGCAGATCCTGTTTTTGGCACTTGATTTTGGCGTGTGTGGATGCTCTGACTTGTGATTGGATAGTTTCTTGATTGTAGCAGGGTTTGCCACTGTAGACCCTTAGTCTAGTAACAAAATAGGATAGTTGCAGAAGAGGTCATGCACCAAGCGAGAGCTGGTTTGAGTAAAGGAGCTGTTGTATACCTCATTTATAACTCGAAACGGAGTAAAAACTTGCTTTAATCTACTTCGAAAGATGAAATAAAAAAAAAACAAAAAACAAAGATCTGTCCCAGACCAGAAGCCTGCAGATGTCTGTTTAGAGTGAGGAACCAGAGGATACCTAGAAGGCAAGCTCATGCATATAGGAAGCCCATCCCACTTATTTATATTTAACTTTTAAGTTCACAGTATAGCTCCTTGTTCATTTTACACCAAAGCTTTTTTTTTTTTATGATTTGACAATCGTCGTCTTATGAAACCCCAAAAACTAACTTTCTGAAACTTTCGCATGGTGTGCGCGGTTCGTTCTGGGTTTGCTTGTTCCTCACCTTCTCAGTGGTAACCAAAGACTTTTAAAGTGATTGTATGGAGTTCCCTGCCTCAACCATTAGCTTGGGGTTTGAGATGATCGATCGAAGCGTGTGGCTGAGTGGGCGGGGCTTAGTAGAAAGAGGAAGGAAAAAAAAACCAGCTCTGCCGGCTTCTGGAAAGGACTTGAGTAACCCCTCACGGGCTGGGTGATGTTTATTAATATACGCTGAAGGATGTCCTGGGCTCACTGCAACCTGCTCAGGATAAACTGTCCTCTGGAGTTCCACTCTGTGGCTGCAGCAAGGCAAAACTGTTTCTATGATTGTCTACAGAAAACATGCAACGTCTCTCTCCATAGTCGTCTTTTAGGTGCTGTCGTCCCGTGGTTTCGCTGTTCTGTCGATGTCTTTATCTAGCTTTGCTGTGTCCACTGTCATGATTTCAATTGGTTTGATCAGCTGTGCATCAACTATGCATCGTTGTCCTCCATCCTGCAAGGGCGGCGTCTGTGTGACACGGTCCTTTTCAGATGGATTTTGATCTTTTTTATTGCAAGTGGAGGGTCCAAAGCAACTATAAGCTCTATCCCAAAGCAAAAATATCCAAATATGAAATGTTTTACAAATGCAGATACCAAAGATTCCTCTTCCTTCCCAAACCCTTCAGCTTGTGTATTAAGAAACAGAACCCAGCTCTGACAGTAGTCCTAACCTCAGTAATCCAAAGCTTAGATGTATATTTTGGTATTTTTCCTGAGATGCTTATGGGGGAAAAAGTTTGTCGTTTTTTTGATTTTCTTGTTCGTTGGATCTGTTGCTCTTTTTTTCTGTCACAGCATGGAATTTAACTGCAAAACTGTCTTACTGTAGGTTAAAGAAATAGTATTTTTGTATGTTTTTGGATGTGTCGATGTATGTGATATCAGTTTCACTGCCCAACTTATCATTGTTTTTAAAACAAAAGACGTTAAAAAAGACGATGTACATAATACTTAAGTCATTGATTTCAAACGAAATCTCTCTCTATACTCTCATTTCCATATTTCCTATGGCTAAAGCTCAAGGAATGTTTCATTTTTCACCTCTGTCTCATACTGTAGATTGTACTTGTATATCTCCCTTCAGAACGCTGTAACTCACTGTTGTAATAGTGATGATTGGTTGGGATCTGAGTATCACTACAGACCTGAACTCTAGTGCCACTCGTGGCCTGCTACCAAGCGAACATACACCCAAGACTGAACGCTAAACGGCTACATCACTGTAGCTTAGAACTGAATGATTGTGTAGAATATAAGTATGTGAATCAGGATACATGGTAGATATGATGCATTTGTCTGCTGTATTTTGTTTGTTTTTTTATATATATATAAAGATAATCTTTTACTGTAACTGTACAGTTCTCTTTTGTTGTAAACATCATTAAACCATTTTCCAAGTGTTTTAATATTCTAAGAAGTCTTTGGTCTTTTAATATTTGTCCTATTTCAGATCAAGAACTCACGGAATTGATCATTATTTTATTTCATTTTACCCTTGTTTTACAGTAATCAGTCAAATGGACTATTTTAGACACACATGTAGAAAATAAGAGCACTGTCTCCTACCTCTCCAGACAGAGGTCTAGTTCTTAAAGGTACAGTTCACTTTGAAATTAATGTTTGATATGTTTTAGCTTACCTCGAGAGCATCCAAGATGTAAGTGTCTTTGTTTCCACAGTATTTTCAATTTTGATATTTTTAGGTCAAACCGTTCTTGTCTGTCAGTCATATAATGGAGGTCTATGGGGTCCACCTCAAAGAGCATGCACAGAGAAGTCAAAATTAAGCATGATTTAATGACTCGTAAATGTAAGTACACATTGATGGCCTAAGACACGAAACCAGCGGTTTGTGTGAGAAAACGAACAGTATTTATATCATTTTACCTCTTGTAACCACAGCCACGTCCAAGTGATCTGAAGGCACGGGCGCTACGGTCTGCGCAAGTGCGCCGGAAGTGATTGTTGCAAATCTTTCGAAATCGTCTTCCATTGCAATTTCCTGTATATCTAAATATGTTTTGTATGTTTACACTTCTGAAATCTCTGTGTAAACAAAGAGTGACGTACACACGCGGGAGATCACTTCCGGGGCTTTCCGGCATGCTTGCGCAAATAGAAGGGCCCTCGCCCTCAGATCACTTGGACGTGGCTGTAGTTACAAGAGGTAAAAACTATTTAAATACTGTTCGTTTTCTCACACAAACCGCTCGTTTCGTGTCTTAGGCCATCATTGTGTACTTACATTTACGAGTCATTAAATCATGTTTAATTTGGACTTCTCTGTGCATGCTCTTTGAGGTGGACCCCATAGACCTCCATTAGATGACTTGACAGACAAGAACTGTTTGACCTAAAAATATCAAAATTGAAATTACTGTGGAAACAAAGACACCGACATCTTGGATGCCCTTGAGGTAAGCTAAAACATATCAAACATTAATTTCAAAGTGAACTATCCCTTTAAATTGCCTTGTACAATTGGTTCGAAATGATCTTGCCTGCCTTGCATTAGCAAACAAGATCTACTATTGCAACCAAAAATTGCATATATACTATATATACACATACATACATCATCACATACATCACACACAGCCGTTCGAAAGTTCGGGGTCGGTAAGATTATTTAAAATGTTTTTGAAAAGCCTCAAAGCTTGTTTGATTTAATTTTTATTGTTACACAGTAATTTTTAATATCTTTTAAAATGTCATTTATTCCATGGGTTGGAAAAGCTGTCACGTGACTCTTTAGAAATAAAACTAATATGCTGATTTGGCGAACAAGAAACGTTTCTTATCAATGTTTAAAATTGTAAAAAAAAAACATTGTGAAATATAAATCTTTTGTCTTTACAGTCACATTTTTTTAAATATATTTTAATGCATCCATGCTGAATTAAAGTATTTATTCAATACTAATTTTTTTTTTACCTGATCTTACTGACCCCAATCTTTTGTGGATATGTATAAAGCAAGACACATAAAGGCATCCAACAAAGATAAACAATTTATCTGTAAGTTGGAAGATATAAAAATTGCTCCTGAGGTTGTGCTGTGTGTTAATTGTGTGTTGTGGGAAAAGTTTCCATCTCCAAAGCCTCGGCTGCATCCCTTTTTCTCCCCGTCCGAGCCTTTAACGGAATAAACCAATTACATGAACTGATGAATTTAACAAAACTGCAGTCTGTGTAAAAACCTACCAAGCAGTGCAATGTTTTAAAAACCTAAAACACTGATAACAGATGCTTAAGTAAATGAAGAGAGTAAAATAGGGAAGAGAAAATATATAATTTGTAAATAGATATAATGTAATATACCGTACAAAGTGGCCATAAAATATATTTTTATGTAAAACACACACACACACACACACACACACATACATACATACATATATATATATATATATATATATGTGTGTGTGTGTGTGTGTGTGTGTGTATATGTATACATATATGTATATGTGTATATGTATATATTTATATATCATATATGTATATATTTATATATGTATGAATGCCATTTAAGTACTAGGTCTATATCAAATCAAGATTTTAAAACGAATTGTTACATTACCTCATCAGATTTGCTCTTGGCTTTGCGAGCCTGCAGAAATAGAAAATAATTAGCAATTTATGCTGATTTTGCTGATTTATAAGGATATTATGCCTCATCATTGGGTGAAATTACACACTTTCCCATGTCCGTGTACTTACTTTGGCTCCTTTTGGTCTTATTTCCTGATATTCATCATTTCTTGCTCCTCTTAGTTCCTAGAAAAGACACCAACCACCATTTAGGAACGATCAAAACATGCAAGTGCACAACTGTAAACAACCACAGGAGGGCAGCAGCGATTAAGCTGTCGCTTTAGGTTACCATGAGAAGAAAGTTTTATCTGGTTAAAAATGTATCTTTTTCTCAGATCTTATCCACATCCTTTCTGACTAATAAGTGGTTTAACTTACCTGATAATGTGTCTCTGGCTCCCGTCTTCTAATCTGAAATATGTTGATATTGATTAGATGAAGTTTGGCTTCTAAAAACAACTTTTCTTCAAAATTGCATTTTCACGTTTATATAATGTATATCAGATTACAAACAGGATTGGATATCATGACACGTCACGAAGTAGGCATAACGTCTGTGTACGATGTACTATATTTGCAGTTAACGCACTGATGTTCAAACTGCCGTGTGGCTAATTTAAATAGGCTTGTTAAATGAAATGAAAACATAAAATAATCTCACCGGTCGGTCCAGTTGCTGATAATCGGAACTCATCTGTGGCAGATCCAAGTCCTAAGAAATACAGCACACACACATTGAATAAAGTCTTTATTAATCGGGTCATTCCTTTTAGTGCAATTTGCCTTTTGCCACGTTAAAAATCAGTAGGCCTATATGATTCTGTACGTAGTAATTTAACTAGATATTTTAATATAGGGTTAAACCATCCTTTTAGAAGCTCTGTCCAGAAATTAATGTTTAGCGTGTTTGTGCGTAGCCTATGTGCATATTTTTTTTTTTTTTTTTTTTTTTTTTTGTCATTTACGTAGCCTATTCTCAAGTTGTTCCAAACATGTATGTAGCCTATTTATTTCTTCTGCTGAACAAAAAAATTCCGATATTTTCAGAAGATACGGTTAACCAAACAAAGTTGATGGGCCACACTGACTGAAACATAATGGAAGTCAAGGGCCTATCAATGGTTTGGTTACCCATATTCTTCAAAATATATTCTTTTTTGGAAGGTAGGGGGCCTAAATGTACGCCTACTATATCTATTTGTTTTTTACATTTAAGTATATAGGCTTAGTAAAATTTTTATCATTTCATTTACCACAAATGTTAGATTTGAAGTTAGACAGGGGCCCAAGGGCTCATATTTTTACCTGGCGATAAAGACCCTAGCGAACAGACATCGCCAGAGCCGTTGAACGCTGTGGTAATAGTAGCTACAGCGCTCAACGGTCAAATGTTTATTGTTAGGATCAAAACAACTCCACAAAACATTAACACTGCCATTATTTATCACTTTATTATGTCATAATAAATATACATCACATCACTTTAAAATAGTCAACTGGCTGTTCTCAGATTGCCAAAAAGACAATTTATGTTGAGTTTCATCTTTGCATGAGATGAAACTCAACAGATAGCGAAAGTAACACAACATTAAAAAACTTTTTCATTATAGATAGGTAAAAGGAAGTAACTAAAGCCTAACAAATACATTATATGTTCAGAAGTGCATCAACGATGCACATCACAAATATAGCAACATCCATCCAAACAAAATAGCTATGTTCACTTAATCATGACTTTGTCGATAATCGAGTTTAATGTTTTATCAAATACAAAGCACTTTCATAGTAGGAATGACTCATTCAATGCAATACATGTCAACACATGAAGTATGTTTTGAACCTTGAACATGATCTGTGAGATATGTATTAATGATAACTCACTGTATAGACGGGCTCATTGGGGTTATGGGCCGGGGCTGCAGGCTCTGCTGGAGGAACAGGCCCTTCCTTTGTAAACTAAGCATACAAGGCAGAACACAAGTCAGTGGTTAAAACCATGAGGTATTTATTCACTTGGAACAAACTGTGAATGTTAAGAGCTCAACTTACCTTCTCTCGGAAGTAGAGAGCAGTAAAAATGATAGAATACAGCAGGAGAAAAACATCTAAAATATAGCAATTTGTTGGGTCGCTCAAAGAGGCCTCTGCGAACAGAACAAACAATTTGAAAGGCCTTCCATTAAGCAAGTACACTAAAACTCAACAAAAATGTGGTGGCTCTACTTATTTATCAAGGTTCTGAATGATTTGTCTATGTTAATAAAACAAGAATGAATAAAATAATTGAAAAATGAGAAAGACAGTCAATTTATGAGAAGCACCTCTAGAACCTAAACCGCCAGATGATTAAATACAGAGATAAATGTTATATATTTAGATTACGGTACATTAAGAGGTTGACTAAATTTTGAGGAAACTAAGAATTTCTGTATCTCAAGGCTTTTCATGTCTAGTTCTGGAATAACCGTCTAATACGAAGACTTCCTCTGATGTTAATTCTCGCCAAACAGAATCATAAACACGGGACGTGATGGAAAACTGTCCATTGTGCCAATAGGTGGTATGCACATGAGTTTTGCCTTGATGTTGAGAGTGGCGTGGGATATATTAACATTTAAGTGGTTTAACCTGAGGCAGCCAAATGATCTGCTATAGATAACGTCGAACACTTTAACTAATCAGTTATCAGGATGAATATGCAAACTGGCTTTACAAAAATAAACCACTGAGACCAGTCAAAACTTCTTGACATAATTGAGGAATCGATCAAAGCTGAATGGATCACATTTATTTTAGATGGTGACCTAACATTGCACACTTTATAGAACATTTAATCGGATAATACTGTCATTCACGGGCTTCAGGAAACTAATAATCTCAAACATTGACTATAGATTTTTTTTTCTTGTTTATGATCTCTTATAAACAAGGCAAAATAAATCTATAGACAATCTTTGAGATTATTAGTTTCCTGAAGCCCGTAAATGTCTTGATTGGGCAGACAAGTATACATTCCTTTTTTTTAATAAAACATAATTATGAGCAAGTGTGGTTTGAAATAACTGTGGATATGAAAATCTAACTATGTTTGCCAAAAATTCAACTAAACAGACAAAACTGGAGATACAATGCCTTTCGAATTTAAATTCATGGCATTTTCATATGCAATATATTGCATTACCATTAACTATTATCCCTCTTAAAAAGTTTAAAAGGGGCCACCTCCCAAAACTTTACGAATAGGCTATCGTATTGCAATCTATTAATTTAGCAAGATTTTGTGGATAAACTTCAATATCCAACTTGAATCAATTACTTTTAACTGTAATCAGTTCTCAAAGATGTAGACATTCTTGCACTAATGATACTGTATCATTAGGAAAAATAAAAAACAACACTCAAAAAAATAGAAACAAAGATAATTGTGTAATGCAGGACTCTCCTACCAAATAAACAAGTCAACCCGCCACCACGCCAGTACTTTTGAAATATATAGGCTAAATAATGTTTTGGATAGGTAGATTAAAGACGTTACACTCTAAAAAAATGCTGGGTTGGTTTAACCCCATTTTGGGTCAAATATGGACAAACCCAAACGTGGGGTTAAAAATGTAATTTAAAAATTTAACCCAAAGGCATTTTTTTTTTTAGTTTAAAAGAAAGTAACTAAAACTAACATGCACCATGCTATGTACAAAGCTTTGTCGACACACGATGATTTGGCACAATTATCTGCATGTACTGTAATATTAAACGGCTTGTTTGGTAGCCTACTGAAACATCGTCCAGTAATATTTTAGCTAATTCCTGCATGATTAATAAAGAGTCTCATTCCTCACTCTCGTCTGTCATTTATTTCCACATTTAGAACATTGAGTGGGTCCTTTATGAAAAAAACAAAACCCTGCACTCATGCCTTCCTGTCAGAGGCAACAGGGGCCCAAGCGCCTCTACCTGTCTCTCTGTGATCTCTGTGTAAATGTGTGTGTGTAATCTAGTTTGGTGGTTTCTCTGCATGAGTCTAGTTAAGTGCAAGAACGAGCACAAAACAGTGAAGGTCCTGTTGCATCACTGCAGATCAAATAGGTGTTAATGGGGCCGGTGGATGAAGGTTAGCAAACTGACCACACATTTCACATACTAAATGAAAGTTTTCTGCAAGGGCATTACATATACTCTTATAAAAAAAAAAGGGTTAATTGGGGTTCTATATATGAAGCATAGGGTTTTTTACTCAACTCCAAATAACATTTTATGCTAAAAAGGTTCTTTTGGCACAAAGGTTCTTTATAGGCTATATATCATTCCTTCATATATGACATTTTTCTGCAACATTTCGTAGTTGGAATTCATTTTTTTGTTGTAACTTAATATCACATAATCAGGCTGATTTTTAGAGGAGAAAAACTGAAATGGCACTCTTCGTGTGATATTGATTAACTAAATAACATTATATAAATATATACATTTTCTAAATCATGTGACATGCATTCATAAATACATTTTAGGGTCTTGATGTTTGTCGATAATATGAAATATTGAATCCGGAAAGGACAAAACAAATGATAATGAATGAACCCAAAAGGTTCCATATAGTACCTTTTTCCTGGTTACAAAGAACCCTAAATGGTTCTTATATTATTGAACCCTTAAAAATGGTTCGGTACACTCTAAAAAATGCTGGGTTGTTTTAACCCAACTTTGGGTCAAATATGGACTAACCCAGCCGTTGGGTTAAATTTTTACATTACATTTTTAACCCAACATTTCGGGTTTGTCCATATTTGACCCAAAATTGGGTTAAAACAACCCAGCATTTTTTAGAGTGTATATAACCTTTTAGGGGTTCCAAATATGTAGCGCTGATAGAACCTTTTAAGGTTCTATTTAGAACCTATTCTTCTAAGAGTGTACAGAAACAAGGACTTATTAACAACCAATATAAAGTATATATTGGTCTAGTCTTATCAAATGAAATCTTTACACATTTATCATAAGCTGTGTTTTAGTTGCTTCATATAACACAAGAAAGTGCTTTAGTTAGAAATTTAAAATCAGCAGTAAAAAAGATTCTATGCTTTATCATTTTACGACCCTATAATTACACTGAAGAAGCTATTAATGCTAAAATAAAGTTGTTTATAGGCTACTTTGTGTGATTCAATTCAATGACAGTTATCAAAACTGATGAATTGAGAAAAATAGGCATAGTTTTATAAATACTGACTGTTAAGAGAGGATTATTATATACATCATATTCAGTGATTTTACAATTCTTTCCAAATACCAGAAATATCTAGTAGATTTGAACGTAGTTGTGCATTCAAAGCATGTAAAGGGTTTCGCCATTTATCTAAACGCCTAATTATTCATTACTGAATACATAATCGGCTTGTGCATGTTTTTTTTGTTGTTGCTGTATCTGTTTACTTTTAGTTGTAATAATTACAACCACTACTACACATATAATAATAATTATATTAAAATTATTTATTATTTATTTTAAATTCAATATGGGAAATAAAAAGTATCCTATACTTTGTGTGTCTACGCGGTCGTTAGACTTTTGCAAAGCCACCATTTACTGATCTTTCGATTTTGGCTTCAGGTTTCACAAAAAGTGAGTGTAGGTTTTCGAGTTGCTTTTGTTGGATCTTCATTTTTTTAATCTCAGGAAACAACATTTAAACACAAAGATGACAGTTACACACCATCATAGTACAACTGAAAAGCCTTTCTTTCTTCAAAAACGTTCATCTTTTTAAACATTATGTTGCAAACAAGTATTTTGCACTTAAGAATGTTGTAACATGCCATGTTACAATTCTAGGTTGTGCATGGAAACTAAAATGGCCACATGAAGAGGTGTGTGACCCCAATCTTTCTTTAGCCTACAGGAGATAATGCACGCACACACACAAAAACATAATAAAACATGTATAATTTTCAATTCCTAAACATTTACTCAAATGACAAGTCCATATTTTTTAGACCATAAACCATCAAAACTTTGCGCTGAATGTTATGTGTTTTTGACACCCTGTGCAACAAAATGATGTAAAGAGCCAGAGAAAGGATTTTACCTGCAGAAGACACATGTGTGGCCAAGAACAATACAGTGGTTGTCCTGCTCATTTCCATTACATTCCCTGAAACTATATTTCTGTAGATGCCGTTCCTTCCTGTTGTTTGGCCTATAAGTGATGTGTAACAGTTTTTAGCTTTTCTGTTTTGATTGCTTGTACTGTCAACTTTTACCTAACAGGAAGTGGCCCTAGCCCTAGGTTTTCTGTTCTAGTGAATGACAACCACTGCCTCCACCAAAGAGTTGTCCTCTCTCATCTCAAAAAAGCTCACCATTTCCTGTATATTTTTAGACCCTCACGCTATAAGTCGTCTTTCACCGGTGTTGCAGGTTGCATGCAGCCTGTCTGTTGAATTTGTTGTTTCCTTTTTTTAACAACATTGGACTGTAAACAAATTTGAATAAAAAAATGTCCCTGCAGGAAATCATACACTAAATATTTGTTCAAACAGCTGGGGAAAAAACATAACCAGGCAACATTTTCAGAACAGATCATAAACCTTCACCTGTATTAATAAAAATAAATATTTTTTTTAAATTTAAAATAGACATAGCTAGTACTAATTGACAGGGTAGTTTGTATGTTGTGCCCCCTGCTGTTCTGCATTTGCCATTGGTATGGTTTTGTATGTTGGTTTCAATCAAGAATCAATGTTTTAGCAAGGTTTGACTATATGATGATGGCAGATTTTAGTACTTCATGTCAGATCAAGCAAATTTAACAAACTAGTATTTTCATTGTGAAATATGTAAATGAATGCTAAAATGTATTGTTATTTTTTAATTACAATATTTGTTGTACATTACCTTTTTTTTTGCTGATTAAAAAAAAAAAACTTTTTGATAATAGTTTTTTTTTTAAAGTCAGGTTCCACTGTGACAACTTAGGCCTACTTATAGATAGAGTGACATCATGCCATTCAATTTTCAACATCATGCCATTCAAGATTCAATGAATTGTAGGGCCTATATATATATTTCCTGGGTAGTGTAAGAAATGTTCTATAGCTTTAAAGTCTTTATATTGTGTCTATATATTGACTTCTCAAAATAAACTACTACCTAGAGAAATATTTACTGGAGTAAAAAGATTTCTCCCAGTCTCCCAAATTTTTGCCATAAACAGTGTTTGATTAATTTCATCAGATCAACATATCAGGGCCCTTACTGTTAATTTATACGAGTCTTAGCAGAGCGATTCGGGACAGATCTGAGAGCAACTCTGAGTTAGGAAAAGACAAAAACTTTCATCTGAGTGAGGAGGCGGGGTTGACCCCGTTGCTATGTATGACATCATCTTTTGAAGACTGATTGGTTGGTTGTTCAAGAAGGGAAAAAAAGAGAGTGATTTAACCATAAGGTCTATTCTAAGCCTTCACTTTGAAATTACATGCATAATTTTTTCCTATTTTACTGTTCACACACACACACACACACACACACACACACAGGGCGCGCTAAGGGGGGAAAAGTTAGGACGATTCTAAGGGCCCAAACACTTTTAGGGGCCCCAGAGATAATTTTTCATAATTTTTCATGGGGCCCAAAATCCCTGGCCGCGCACACACACACACAGACACACAGATTATATATGTGTATAAATCCTTTTTTTATTATTATAACCATGCTGTTAATTTTCTATAAGGTATTTGATTGGCTTAGAATGATACAACTTGTTCCCAGTTACACTGATTGCTGGCATGTCTATTTAAGCGGTGGTTTGAATGTTAATTGGTTTTATAACAAACATGAAATCAAAACCAAGAAGGACGAGAAAGCCCGACTGGACAGAGGAACAGTGTTTACTGCAGTTAATGGATGAACACAAGGCATCCTTAAAGGATAATTTGGGCCGGGTTTCAATCTATAGCGTATTATTAACTGACTGTCATCTATTGTCTGCAACACATTTCTTCTCCCAATTTATCTTTCCGCCATTTTCTCCTCTGCTAAAGAAACTCTTAAGCCTCTTAAAAGTCCTCATCCGTACTCCTAATTTTGACCTAAAAACCTTTTTTAAGGGTTAAGATACTCTGTGAATTACTTTTTCTTTACTTGGGTGTTTCTTTAATTTTAAGAGTAAACGCCCACATTTCTAAGAATTTTCTTAGAATGTTGTCACTAGAAGTGACTCTTTGCATTAAGATTCTTTAGGCTTTGAATACGGGCCCATGTATCACACTTCTGTGATGGCATTCTGGAATGGTCCTAAAATCTTTAGCCTCCTTGTAAATTGTCTCTGTAATGTGACTCCTCAGTCACATGCATCCTCATTCCATTACTCTTTACATCGTTCATTTAGGTAGGCATATCTTATGTGTGCTGTTAAATCTAGGCTATGTAGCACTAGCATCTATGTGTTTTATTTATTTTTTTTATTTTTTTTTACAGATTAATGGCATAACCACAGGAAACATACAATAAGTAATAACTAATTTGTTCATTATTCTCAACGTGACCATGGCAAAAACCAAAATAAAATCAAAATAAAAAGCCAAAAGCAGCCAAAAGCGTTTTTACTTTTTACAGTCGTGTTATGCAGCACATTGTATTTGTTCAATCACACAATTAAATGCTTTAAATAAATTATTTCATGACTATCCTTATTTATTTTATCATTAATATATTATTTAATTATTTCGCTGATTATCCAAGAACCAAAAGAAACCAAAACACCAACAAAAAAAATCACAACACTAGGCTATCATCAATGAAATGTGACAAACTGTCGTGCTTGAGAGATGAGCTAGCAAATATAATAAAAGTAATTTTACTACTAAGTTTAATTATTATAATTATTAATTGAAGCAACATTTGTCGTCTTTTTGTTCAAAATCAAGACATAAATTAAAATAAATTAAAAACGAGAAAAACATGCGCATGCGCGTTGCCGCTGTTGCGTGCTTTAGAAGCAAGTCGCTCACATCACATGACATGACGGTGGCGTTTCCTACTGCGGTGCGGTTACAAGAAACTAAACAAATCTGAGCTACTGCGTTTTTTAGATGTAGATTTGACACAGCGGTAGCTCAAACCGACCGTAAACGTCTGCGCCATAACAACAGTTATCTGAAGAGCCCCTCTGAAGACGCAGATTGCACAGCCTGATATCATCTGTTTTTGTCTCGAGTGTGTTTTGATTTACGTTACTTTGAAACATGATCCCCGTTATCCGCAAACAAAACATGCCCGCCGGGGCAATTTTTTGCCTGCTGTTTGGTAAGTTTTATTTTAATATAGTGTATTTTGAGCAGCAGGAATATTTGGTCTGGTTACTTTGATTAATGTGTTAATTCATTAATTAATTGCTTAATTAATAAGAATAAACAAGCCATGTATGGTGGACGCTTTGTTTCCTTTTTAAATAATAATGTTTATTCCTGCAATTCCGTAACGTTAGGCCTTTGGTGTAGGGAAAGCTCAGAATGAAAAACATTTGTAAATTATCATCAGACATGACTTCTAAAACAATAACGTTAAATTGTTTTTGTTACTGAAAACCACTACCATCATGTATTTGACTTCGGTGCTACCTGCTTCTATGCGTTTAAAGGTGGACCCAGATATGTTTTTTGTAATTCTTTCTTCTTTTTTTTTGTTACAAATAAAGAAATTAGAAATATAATTGAAATTTTGTGTACATAAGATGAAGAAGACTCAGTATTATATCAGTGAACGGGTCGCCCCCTTATGTTGACGTCAAAATAACATAATAGTGATAATCATGTTAATAAAAACTATAAATAAAACAGGTCTGGTGTGAAGCAGTAGAAGTTAGTAAACAAACAAACATCATGCATCCAGGCTGATGGGGGGTCAATATAAATTCTAAAACCTCTTTTGCTATTGGAATTAATAAAAGTATAACAACAACTTACTGAGTACACCTTTAACCCTAACCAGTGCTACAACTCATCTATCTCACCTTTTAAAATAATGTTTTCATTACAGCTCTAATTATACATCCGTCTTTGACCACTAATGTATCGCCCACTGTGGTCGCCCCTGAAACCAGCTCTCCTCCGGCCTCTCCTGCAACCCCCGGCCCCCCTGAGCGGGGCAGCTACAATATTACCAATGTCAACGACACAGTCTGTCTCTTGGCATGGATGGGCCTGCAGCTCAACATAAGCTTTATTTCAACCTCTCATGGCACGGTACTATACAGCACACATACTGTAACTTTCACTTTCTTGGGACAAAAGTAGCTTGGAATATTCTGCTAATTATCTACTTTTCTCTTTGGTGGGTAACAAGCATATTTTTAATGTTTGGTTGAACCATTCCTTTTCCCAGCTTATTACTGGAAATGGCACATAGAAAAACGACACATGTATGCTTTATTTCTATGACAAATGCTATTATAAATTGCCGCTATTAAAATTCCTTGGGTTAAAGGGATTTGTATGCAAGTAATTCAGAGTAAGGAAGGTTTGGTCCTCATTTCTAAATGTAATCATACTTTGCTTTTCAGATTGTCCAGGAGGTCTTGAACCTTCATCCGAACCTGATTAAATTCTCTGGATTCTGTGCGCCAGACTTTGCAACTCTCAAACTGACAGAGGACAACATTAATTTGACTTTCAGCTTCTCTTTAGTAAGTTCTGAATCTCTTGTTATTATTTCTAGGGATGCACTGATCAAGACTTTATGGCCGATTTGGGTTCCGTGTTTGTTTTTTGTTTTTACAAGCAAATTGTGAATTTCCCTAAAAAAGGGCAGACATAGGACACAAATAATACAATTTCATGATTTGTTTGAAAAGCATGACTTTTTTATTTTAATATTTGTATCCCCCAGGATAAGTTGGCCCTTTTGGGGTATAAATTCATTGAAAACAGAAAGCTTGTTTGGCGATGCTTATAACAACATTTTAGCCACATTTTTTAAAACATTTGATTCTTTCATAACTTACAGTGAACATTCTTTATAACATTTAGTCAAACAATCAGGATGATGCTTGTCGTATATTAGCCTACTACTGTATTATGTGCTGTATCATATTTGCACTCAAACACTATAATACAGAATATTATATGAAACCGTTTTAATAAAACAATATTATACAATATTATTTAAATTTTCGAAAGACAGTCAGTTCCCTTCAGAGATACTTGAATAAAAAACCCCACCCTAAATGCTATATATTTTTCTTCTATTATTTTGAGCATCGCAAACAGTGAGCTTGTTGTGCCTTTTTCAGCATCTGCTGGCACATCTGCTCTTCTGTCTTCAGCGTGTCCCATCTCTGTCCTGTGTTAACGCTCTGTTTATCGACTTGTAATATTTCCGCACAATTTACATTTTGCGCAAGTACGGAATGGAGATCGGTCAAAATAAAATGGAAAAAAACGGCCATTCTAATTATTTCCTCTAATTTCCCCTCAAATTACCCAGAACATACTGATGTCATCATCACATATGGAATATACTTAACTTGCTTTTCAGAATACCACATCAAACAAATATCATCTTAGTGGTTTGGAGCTGTCAGCTGCATTGCCTGATATGGCTAGTAAGTCAGTTTTAAAAAGCCCATGTATGATACAATTTGTAGTTCTTTTAGTTAGGTTTTCTGAAAAGCTGAGCCTTTTTGTTTTATTTTTGCTTAGAGGGCCTTGTTGTCGGTAACACCACTCTGAACTACATGGTGGGATCACTGGGCCACTCTTACATGTGTCAGAAGGAGAAAACCTTGAGCGTTACACAGGATTTCTCCCTCAACACTTTCCAGCTTCAAGTGCAACCTTTCAGCGTCAATGGAGATTTTGGAGCAGGTATTTTTTTTCTTTCTCTCTTACCCTTTCTCAGTTTTGTTCTCTCATTCTTCAAGGAATTTTCTGGCTTCAACACATAAAAGGCAACATGAAAATCTCAGTTGTCATAACATTGAAGCTGATAAACCCAGTAACTTTGTCCACACAAATATACTTAAATATAGTCCTTTATCTGTTTAAGAACTGTAGTCCCATCCAAGGTTTTTATTGTTAACCAAAACCATTTGTGTTACTTGACGACAAAACATCTTGCTACAAATTGTTGCTTTTCAGCCTCAAAATGCAGTGTTTGAGGGCGGGTCAAAGTAGATGTTGTTTATGGGCTGCCAATGAAAACCGTAGGCTGCCATAATGCAACATTTTTACAAACCTACGGCGTTATGGAAGTGAGACTGGAATTGCTGACGATTCGTTTCAGCATTTCAGAATCAATTCTTTCTTTTACGAGACAATTTTATTTATTGTGCACTTTGATATTTAAAACTTTGCTGACCTTTTACGTTCCCTAACAGCTATATTACACACTGCCTTAAAGGTAATGTATATAAAAAAAAAAATAGGGACACTTCAACAGAATTGAAAGGAAATGGAAGAAAAAATAATGCAGTTTTTTAACTAATGTTAGTGATTAATGATTTAACTTCATATTTTGGCTTTTTTTTGGGACACCATTTTCTACTTATTTTACAATTTGATTTTTGCTTGAATATGCATACGTGTTTAAAGGCTCTGTAAAGGCAATTCTAAAAAAAAAAAAAAAAATTCTTAACACATTATAAATGTTACAAATCTATTGCTAAAACATATTACAAAGAATGTGAACTGCAAAGAACCGAATTGTGGAGTTAGACCGATAAACAGTTTTACACCATTGCTATTTTCCGGATTTTTTGGGTGGGGCTAAAACGGGCGCTTGATGACGCACTGGAGCCCCTGAGCTCCTGGACACGCCCCTACTTGATGATGCACTGAGGCTGGCCCCTCCCCTAACAATATGTTGATTTCACGCAGCCGCCATTTTGAAATGGCTCCGGTGGGAAGAAAACAGGAAGTGTCGCGAATGTGATGGCGCGTTGTTGTGTTTAATGTAGAAATTAGTTATTCTAAAAAAATTTACATATGTTTCTTTCATACTTTAGATTATATACAGTGAAGTTCATTTATAAATAGATTTTTTTAATATATATACATGTGTGTATATATATATATATATATATTTTTTTTTTTTTTTCAGAAACAAACTATACACATATCCTATATTGGATAATAACATCTGTGTAAATCGCGGCAGCAGCTTCAGATTGGTACTCCAAGGCATTTTTGTCTATCTGTACTTCCAGGGTACTTCCCACCGGAGCCTCGCTTTCGATTTCAAAATGGCGGCTGCGTAAAATAAGCGTATAGAGCACATTCGCATTAGTTCGCCGCTCAATAGCGTGTTACTGTCAGTAGTACTATTAGTTATTACAGCCTACAGTTTGCTAGCTAGCCATGCCTTCGACACGGTATGCGTAGGCTACTACCTGGATGCGATCATGTACAAAATAGTTCGGTGTTTTATTTAAATTCACAATCACATCAAGAAGAGGTGGATTAATTTTGTGAAGAACCATCTTGGAGGGCTGAGGATCACCGCCAACACCCACCTCTGTAGTGATCATTTTACTCGTAAAATTTTATAAACTTTCGTCAGAGACAACTAGGATTCACTGATAATCCGCTGTTACTGGTGAACGGGGCCAAGCCAACTATCTTCCGCTTCGGCCTTCATCCTTCCGTCCCGAAAACCGTTTTACCTAATATCATCATCAGCAGCTTTCCCACAAGTGGGCGTGGTTTCAGCGAAGCCAGCGGACACGCCCCCAGCATTTGAGAGCAGATTTTGATTAAGATTTTGATAGCTTATTTTACTTACTTGCCGGCTTTTTTATCATTCAAATTTGTCTGGGTGGCTAATAACACATTTTTCTGTGGTGTGACAAACTCAGAACACATATCAACATAGAAAAACTGCTGTCTTTGTGTAGGTACACACATTATGATCATTAATTTAGATCTTGAAATAGTGATATGATTGATTGAATTGGTTGTTTTCCTTAACTGTTTCAAATTCTTCTTTTGCCACCCTCTCCTCTCGCTCTGTCACTGTTCTAGCCGAGGAGTGTGAGTTAGATGAAGACGACATGTTGATCCCCATCATTGTGGGTGCTGCCTTGGCTGTTCTAGTGCTCATTGTGATCCTGGCCTACCTTATTGGCAGGAACAGAAGTCATGCAGGCTACCAGACCATCTAAACCCTCCCCATGTAATCTTTAATCCAGGATGTGTCGACACCACCGATTTTTGCTCTAATTTGGACTCGACAACACTACTACAACTGCAGATACCTAGATTTTAGCCCTCTGGTGGTGTCTCACGCTGCCACTGTCCAGGTGGATTTGTGTTTCCTGGACTTTCTGTTGGATAATGTTAAGCGTAATATAATTAATGCACACGTAAGGGTACAGGGCAAAATCTAAGGTGTCTAGGTCATGCTAAGGTATTGTTTCCAGGAACCAGATTATGCTTACCTAGAGGAATCTGTTTTGTTTGGTGTCATTTAGGCTTAATCTGTATTTTGGGAAACATACAATCTGTTTGGTACCTTATATTGTTAATTTAATGTTATGCATTTATTTATTTATATGAATAGGAGGATTTAGGGATGCTGATAATGTTGTTACTGTTACATACTCGGTCTAAAAGGGACTACATATTTAACACTACTTTCTAATCTTGATCCTGACTACCTTTTGTGAATTTTTTTTTTGTTTTTAAGCTAGTTAGTTCACTTTTGGAGTTAAACACTACAATACTGGTCAGTTTTTGGGACTCACCAGATTGGAGGGGGGGAAAAAAAACACTTATTGCTGTCAACAAAGCCTCACATAATAGGTTTGACTACATTTTAATGAAGATTTAATGAAATTCCACATCTCTCCAAATCTGCTAATTGAGTCTGTAAATTGAATATCCACTTTCTAGAGTAGAATACCTTTCAATAACACAAACTAGTCCTGTTTTTCTCTTATACTACATATCAAAACTATATAGCCTGCTTGCATCCATTTAGCATTGTATTTGCATCCATTCAGAAACGTTAAAAGGGAAATTCTACTAGAATGAGGAAATATGGTTTTGCACTACTGGATGGGCAAAGGGTACATTTGACACTAACACAGCAGGAAGTTCTGAATAACTTGAAGTAGGTTTAGACTATTATAGACCTAGGTAAATGGTTAACTGTTACAAACTCAAGGAGTGAACTGAGAGAAACATGCTTTATCATGTAGTGGATAAATCTCTCCTTTCTGACAGGCCTTCATATGGAAGGACTGCATAAATGAAGTTGTTGTGGATATTGAAGTGTTGCCTTGATTGCTATGAAGTTCATGTTGTTTTAAGGGAATGTGATTCTAAATTTCTAAATAAAATGAAAAATAAAACACAAGAAAATGAGTTTGCCTCCTAAATATTTATTAGTTAAACATTGCATTTCATCAACAGGATGTATATCTAAACAGACAACTGATTGTCATACACAAAGCAATAGGGGGGAAAAAAAAGTTAAAATTCATTCCAATTAAAAGAAGGTAAATCATACAGGTTTGGAATAACAGCACCAGAATGTTACATTTTATTTATTTTATTTTTTTGAAAGAAATGATTACGTTTATTCAGCCAGGAGGCATTAAATTAATAAGAAATTCCATCAAAGACATTTAAAAAGTTATAAAATATATATATATTTTTTAAATAAATGTTATGCTCTTGAACTTTCTATCCATCAAAGAACCATAAAAAAACATCATTATGGTTTCCCAAATAAAATTAAGCTGTTTTCAACAAATTAAATTTTTTTTTGGTTGTTTTTTTCACCAAATCAGCGTATTAAAATAGTTTCTGGAGGATCATGTGACATTGAAGACTGGAGTAATGGCTGCTGAAAATTCAACTTTGCCATCACATGAATACATCTTAAAACATAAATATATTTTAAATTGTAATATTGCACAATATTGCTATTTTTAATCAAACCCAGCCTTAGTGAGCATTAGGCACTTTAAAAACATTTAACACCGACCCTAAACTTTTGAACAGTAATGTATCCCTTGACACTTATTTCTTAAACATTTCATAGTTATTTAATGGCATTAAATGTTTATTTTTTATTCCACACAGTAGATCTCACATGCAGTCAGAACTTTATATCCAGTTCAGCATTTATTGTGAGGGAGGGTTTTTGGCAGAAGTGATGCGATTTCTGCACATCATCCTGAGTTTAGTGATCGTTTCCATGGAAAGACCTCCTGGCTCCATAAAGATTTTCTAAAGTTATAGGACAAAGAAACATCATTCAGAGCAAAATTATCATTAATATTAGCTTAGTTTATGAATAAGAAGCATCCACAGAATGTACCTGCATGAATGAATGGCAGTCTTCTACGTACTCCCCACGAGTGATCTGTTTGAAACGTTCACAGATTTCTGGGAGACTCCGTGCCTGTGAGATGAGGTTCTGATGGTGACCGATCAGTGTCAAAGCCACACGGAACAGGATCTTGGATCCCTCATAGAAAAGGCAGTCCCATATTCTCAACACTGTCTGAGAGAAGCACACAGATACCGATCATTACGTTCAACATTTGCATCGAAATGTCTACTTATACACCATAAAACTGGCTAATCATTTCATAAGGACTGAAAATTGTTGAATGACTGCACAGCTTACCATTGACCACTTTTCACAAAGAACATCCTTTAACTTTTATCCTCACCTCTACAGGAAGGATGTCAATGTATAGGCAGATGAACCAGCGCGAGACCACCAGGGTCCACATTACATTGTGCCGATTCATGGCCTGCCAGACAGAAGGGACCTTCATCTTGACAAGCTCTCCAAGCACCTCTTGATCCACTTTAAGCCCCAGCATAGTTGAGGTGTAATAGTCTAAAAAAAAAACTATATATATATACTTGCATAATAATGTCAGAATTTTCATTATTGGGTGAACTATCCCTTTGAGTCAAGGTATTTTGTGTTAAATTACCTACAACAATACCCTAAAACAATGACTAAATAGCTTTTTGGCTCTTGGTTATTTAATATACAACATTATTGTCCTCACTCACAAGGTCTAGGTGATCTCACTCCAAAAACAAAATCATTTCAAAGGTGGAACAAGTAATTGCATTTTGATTAATGTAATGATTAACCTATGCATGATGTTTTGAAGAAGTCCTAGTTGTATACAACAGTGGGTAAAAGTGACAGACCTGGTAAGATCTTGCCAAGTAAAGCATCCATTAACCAGAACGACTTCTCCTCATCTTTGGTGATGATGAGGAGGTATCCAGCGATAAAGTTCATTCCCTAAAAATGCAACAAGGGACACATTTCGATTTCAGTAGCCTACTACTGATTTGAACGCAGACGGGTACAGCAGGTTCTGTATTGACAGGGTAAACAATGTGTCTTACTTCCTCACAAGTTATAATTGACTGTTCACTAGTATCCTTACACAACAATAGTTTTAGATACTCATAGGAAGTTCAATACATCCTTAAATCAAGTTACACTTAAGAAATAATTATGTGTAAAAGGGCATGTGTATATGACAGTAGTACCTGACAGTAACCAACATCCTTATTGTGGTGTGCATAACCCAGGAGTATATTAAACAGAGCTTTTTGTAAACATGGTTGTGAGGAGTCACGGAACTGAATGTTGTCAGGGAAGGTTCTGTGCATATCTGGAAAGGAAAATTAATCTCAGAAGTATTTTATTTCCAACATTACCCGTTCTATCTCTATTCAGGTTTGAATTAGTAGCCTATAAAACTTTTAAATGATATGGTTTCATGAAAAGTAACTTGCCGGCAAGTATGGTCTCCTCTATTTTAGGGTCATGCTCAGCCTTTAATAGAGAATGATAGTACCCAGGATTCCTCTCCAACTGGTCCTGGGCTCCACTAGCTGCCATCCAGATCTGAGTGCGATGTTCACACGGAACCCCCTTCCTCACATATCGCTTCACTGCAAACCCAAACGACAGCTTCACACATGTGAACCTTTATGTCTTATAAAATATAGTAATGATTAAATTAGTAAAAATAATATAGAAATGGCCACCTTTCAGGTTCTTCTCTACTTTCACCGTGCCCTGCAAAAGTTTAGACCACTTCTTTGACCTCCTAGTGAGAACAGCTAAGTACTCGGCCATTAGCTCCTCATTGGATTCATAGCTGAAATCCTCTGATCTCTCAAATCCATATGGGTCTATCCTACAGACACATTTACAGACTTGGTTCTCACATGTGGGAATTATTTGAAACAAGAATAACAGAAACTTATGAAGAAGTTATGAGTTCAGTATTATTTTCTTTACATAAAAAAAAAAAAACTTTTTAAAAAGTGTTTATGACATTGACGCAAACATCACCTGACGCACAGGTGTTTTGGACCACATCTCGTGGCGACAGTCACTATCAATAATAAAGCGAATGCTATAAGGCCTATATCAATTCATCATATGAATATAAAGTTACGTTCATACCTCTTGCAGTCGTTGTTGTCTGAACTGGCAGAACATTCCCTGCTTTGATCATTAAAGTGATTCTCCATGTAGAGTTTAGCGCGTCTCTTGCAGCGAACACTATCTGAGACGAGCTGTTTACATAAACTCCTCCCCTATACCTGTTATACTGTATGCCCAGGCTATGTAAATTGCGTTTTACCTGTTTGGTTCATTGAGTGCAAATGAATGAGTAATCTGTATAATTTAACTCAAGGGCTAGTCTGTTTTAAATCATTTGTATGATTTAGATGATTTATATATATATTTTTACCTATTAATGTTGGAACTTGTGTTCTACTTGTTTCAAAAGCTATAAATATATTATGCTATTAGTTTTTAAATTAAATTAGTTTAATATAATATATAAGTAATATAATACTTTGACCCATACCCAATCATTTATTAATGAACTGCACTTTGTGCGTCAGTAACCAATATGACATGCAACCATTTGAATAAATGTAGTTTGCGTTTATAATATCATTATTTTGGCAAAGTATTTCATCCATATATATATTTCCTCAAATCACTCCTCTATAATATTTAGAAAGGAATAATGTTTTAGTTAGTTAAAGTCCAATTCAAAATGAAAAGCACTGTAAAAAAACAAAAACAAAAAACATACACTTCATAAAATTAATTCATTTCACTTTGTCATGCTTGCTGTAAAACGGATATGCTTTTTGTCAGTTTGCTTTGGCAAAATAAAGGTCCCCAGGCTCTCCTATTTTAAGCTTAAGCAGCTAATGTTACTTATACTGTTTTTGAACTCCTTAGAAAGAGGAAATGTTTTTTTTTTTTTTAAAGAAAGGTTATTTTTAAATTATAATTTACTGTGAAAGACATAAAGAGAAATACAAACAAATTGAATCATTTTAAAAGTCACGTTTTTGGCTCTCAGACTTTTATTTTTAATAATTCATCCAGCGCCATTTAGGAAAGAAGAGTTTTGTTTCCTGCTTCAGCTCCAGTGGGTGATGGCGGAGCTCCATCTCTCCACATCTTACTGGCTCATATTTTCTTTTCTCCATGGGTTGAAATTGTTTCAGCAGGATATAAACATTAGGACGTACGCGTAAAAATATTCTCTCGGCCTAGTTTGCGGTAAACGCGAGGGGGAAAAAAGGGTCGGACCCGTAACCATACATTGCTCCCGCTGTATTTAAAATGGCTCCAGTTCAGATTGGTTCGGACGGGCAGCTGGTCCCCGCCGGGGGTCCGACCTCAGCCCCACAGCCTCCTCCGGGAGCCCCGGCCACTCAAGGAGTTCGACTGAGCGTCCTGATTGAGTTTCTGCTACAGCGAACCTACCATGAAATCACTCTGTTGGCTGAGCTGTGAGTTCATGAGAGAGAGGCTGGTTGTTTTGAATGGTCATTAACTTAGTCAGGCATGGTTAAATAAAGTTAGATTTAATTTAGCGTTGGTCCATATGTTTACTTTACAACAGTCTTGAATGTAAATTGGTAGTAAATAATACGGAAATCTTGCTGCATTCTAGTACTGATAGGCTACATAACATTATTTGGTTAACCATGGCAAAGTGATATATAATATATTTGAACATAAAGCTATATTTGACTTTGGCTCCAGAAGTTACTCTGCTTTTTGCAGCCTACGTGATTTTGAGATATGGCAGGTGACCCAGACATGAGCTTTTATCTTTTAATATTCAGTTGATATATTGCTATCCCAGTATATTGCATTGCTTTAATTAGAGCAGTTATGGAGATTTGATGTGTAGATGTAAGATATAAAATGCTTTGTGCTTTCATTTGATATTTTTAACCATATCTTTATGATTTTCACAGACTTCCACGGAAAACAGACATGGAAAGGTAAGAAACTTAAACAGTTTCCATTTGTATTCTCCAATAAACATTATTGTAATATTGGTTACATCTCAGGTTTTCAAACTCCAGAACCCTCTTGCAACTAGGAGTTTAAAGAACAGTGTAAAAATAAATACATTAGTATTTGAATAAATATAAATTATTAAAGAAAATGCATAAATAATACAGTACAGTAACATGAGTAGAAAAAACATAATAATGTTACTATAGAAATTAACTAAATATTTTCCAAATAATATTTTAGACATAATTATAATATTTTATTAATATATAATATTAATATATTTTTTCACAGCATAAACTGAATCTTTATACAAGAAACCATATCTATATGATCTATATTCTATACTGTCTTTAATTGAAAACCCCTGGGGTACATTATGCATGCATTTAAACGTAACCGATTTTACCCGTCTCTTACAGGAAAATTGAAATTGTTCAGTTTGCCAGTCGGACGCGGCAGCTCTTTGTACGTCTGCTTGCTCTTGTGAAATGGGCAAGTAATGCTGGGAAGGTGGAGAAATGTGCGGTACGTGATTTATTTCCCACCTCCAATCTGAGTTATTTCATTCTTGTTTATGTGGTATTCATTCTTAGCTCTGTTTACAGATGATCTCCTCATTTCTGGATCAACAAGCATATTTATTTGTTGACACGGCTGACCGACTGGCATCATTGGCCAGGGACGCCTTGGTACATGCGCGTTTGCCTAGTTTTGCCATCCCTTTTGCCATTGATGTACTAACCACCGGGTCTTATCCGCGTCTGCCCACATGCATCCGAGTGAGTAGTCAAACGTAGTGTTTAGCAGCGTCTAAATGGATGTTGAAAACAGGAAATAATGGGATTATTTGTTTTCAGGACAAAATTATTCCTCCTGACCCTATAACCAAAACAGAGAAGCAGACCACACTAAATCAGCTGAATCAAATCCTGCGACATCGACTAGTCACCACTGACTTACCCCCACAGCTGGCCAACTTAACTGTGGGTAAGTTCCAACTTCTACACATCATGTATATATGTTATATATATCAAAAAAATTGTATCCATACATTTTTATCCTTTTGCTGTGTTTTGTTCTTACAACATATGATCTTACATGTTTTTATGAACTCTTTGCATGTCAAGCCAACGGGCGAGTGAAGTTTCGAGTTGAGGGAGAATTTGAAGCCACGTTGACAGTGATGGGGGATGATCCTGATATCCCTTGGAGACTTCTTAAACTAGAGATTTTAGTTGAAGACAAGGAAACCGGAGGTAATACATTCTCAATGTGTTGGCTAATAAGGCATCAGAACTAAGATATCATGCAACCCATCTGAATGTACATTTGTTTTCACAACTTTTTTTATATAAATATATTTTTACTATACAGTTCAAATGTTTGGGTTTGGTAAAGTTGTTTTTAATGTTTTTTTAAAGTCTCCTTTATGCTCACCAATAATAATACAATAATATTGTGTAATGTTATTACAATTTTAAATAATTGTTTTTTAGTATATAAAACGTAATTGATTTCTGTGACAAAAGCTGAATTTTCAGCATCCATTTCTCGAATGTTCAGTGTCGCATGATCCTTTAGAAATCATTCTAATATGCTGATTTTGTGCTAAAGTAACATTTTTATCAGCAGTTGTGCTGCTTAATATTTTTGTTGAAACTGTGATTTAAAAAAAAAAAACTTTCTGGATCTTTTATAAAAAACTAAAAGTCTTTACTGTCACTTTTGATCAATTTAATGCATTTTTTGCTAAATAAAAATATTTTTACTTTAAAAAAAGCAACTAAACTTTTGAACCAGAGTGTGTATTTATGCATGTTCATAACTTATTTATTAATAACATCTCTATGTTATTTATTTAGATGGACGGGCATTGGTTCACAGCATGCAGGTGAATTATATCCATGAATTGGTACAATCCCGCCTGTTTGGAGATGACAAGCCACTTCAGGACATGTATAGCTGCCTCCGTATCCTTTCAGCTCAAGACTTAATATTGTTGTGTTTTAGTAGAGCATTTGTTTGTGGTTGCTTAAAGGGGTACTTTACCACCAGCAAAATGGGCTTTCAATAAAACGTGGCTGCTTGTACAGTAAAAAAAAGACAAATAAATCTGTGCTACCTGACCATAGAAAACAGAGAAAAAAATACTTATATCTCCCAGTCTGCTATGGCTACGCTCGACTGGACTCAAAAAGTGCAGTGCTTAAGAAATACTTGGCAAACTTTCTAGTCATAATGGAGTCAACTAGTATTGTACCCACCAGGTCCTTCTCTCAATTTCACCTCTTAAATTTGGCTTTGCCTCCCCTGATGAGCCACCACTGGAGTTACAGAGTATTATGGGAACTGTTTTCTTAATAACCCTCTGTCGATCCAACCTTTGTGGCCTGGATACAAAAATGCTTAAGTGTAATTCATTTTCATGTAAGCCCTGAAGCTGTCAAAAGTCTACTGGATGATGTGATTAGTGGAAATGCATAGCTTTTGTTTTACCAGCCCAGACAAAGTGTTAAATCAAAAAGGTTTCCTTGATGACTTGTATCAGACTCTTTTTGCCTATCACTACAGCTGGAGGTGTTGCATTCACAGACTCTGATGTTGATCAGAGAGCGATGGGGTGATCTAGTGCAGGTGGAGCGCTATTTCCCTGCCAAGTGCCTCACGTTGTCAGTCTGGAAGTAAGTTAAAAAAAAATCACTACAGAGTTTTGTGCAACTTTACTCTTGTTTTTGCATCTCTTGATTTTTGCCTTTCAGTCAACAGGTCCTGGGTAGAAAGACTGGCACAGCACCTGTGCACAAGGTCACCATCAGAATTGATGAGACGGATGGTTCCAAGCCATTACAGATTTCCCATGAGCCTCCACTGCCTGCCTGTGATTCCAGATTAATGGAAAGAGCCATGAAGGTGAGTGTCACTGGTTAAACTAATATCCTTAACAAGCCAAACCGTTATTTAAAATGGTAATATCTCACAATATTACTTTTTTTTCTTCTGAATTGTTATACAAATAAATGGAGTCTTTAGCATAGGAGACTTCATTCAAAAGCATGTCTTTTTTTTATTAATCAAACTCAATCTTTGTAAAGTTTGTGTATAATAACAGTAATGAGGATAAAAGCTTATCAGGGCTGTTTGTGGGCTGTTCTTTCAGATCGATCATCTCTCAGTGGAAAAGCTTTTGATCGATAGTGTGCATGCCCGCTCGCATCAGAAACTGCAAGAACTCAAAGCCATCCTGAAAAGTAGCAACCCTAGTGATAACTGTGAGTAT